AGGATCCTTGACAAAATTCACTGGCACAACTTGGCATTATATTGGATATTGATGTTTCACAGTCTTTTTCTGAATTATACTCCATTCTTCACAAAAAAGGTTCCTAATTTACTTAAGCATAAATTTTAAGGAATATGAAAATGTGTTGTTGAAAATAGAGGTGACAATCAAACCAAACACATCCGTTCTAGATTGGAATTTATTCGGATCGGTTTGACTAATTTTAATTTAGATTTAATTCGGTTCCATACATTTTTCTTTTCTGGTTTAGGTCGAAACAGATACGGCTTAGATATTGAGTTAAATCGAATGCAATTAGGTAAAATTTGAGTGAAATTAAATGCAATTCAAAGCACATTTTTAGAAACCCACACAATATTGAGGGGGTGAAACTAAATCTTTTTTAACCGTTCTCTAGTTTGTATGAATTTTAACTATTTTTTATGTAAGTTGTATTGTTCATTTCTATATCAATTTATAAATAAAATAAATTTAAAAGATATAAAATTTTGCATTTTATTTAGATATGGCAATTCATTTTGGAAAATAGGGAGTAAGTAATTTAAGTATATTACTAGTTCAAATAGTAAAATAAAAGAAAATTAAAAATAACATTGAAGAATTATGATTTTCCTTAAACCAAAAATCAATAATTACAACAATACATACTAGGATTTGTAATCCTAATAATGGTAGGATAATGTAAAAGGAAACCTATACAAAAGGATACTACCAAGAATATAATCACAATATTAAATCTATTTAATATATTTAACATGCTCCTGACTACGTGGATTGTGGTGGATGACGAATTCCAAGATTGTCTCTGAAATCTTATAATGGTAGAGACGGGAGTCCTTTGTTGAAAATATATGTATACTGAGATGAGGACGAAACATGAAGCATCTTGACTTGGCCGAGAGAAACTTTGTTGCGAACGAAGTGGATGTCAACCTCAACATGCTAAATCGCACTTATGTTGTCACAGAAAACTATGGTTGCACGACACAGGGGCTAGTGAAGCTCAAGCAAAAGATTCCGGATCCAACTGGTCTTAATTAGCAATGACATTGGCTACTTCTTTATATTTCACCTTGATATTGAAGCAAAAAGTTGTAGCTTGCCATTTGGAAGACCAAGACACAAGGTTGTCCCCAATAAAGACATAATAATTAGATATGGATCATCGGGTATCGAGACATCCAGCCCAATCTACATCAGAATAAGCCTGTAAGTAATTAATGCTAGAGCGAGACAGGGAGATGCAGTGAGTAGCAGTCCTGCTGAGGTAACGCAGGACATGCTTCATGGCAATGAGATGAACGTCTCGTGATGCATGAAGATGGAGACATAGTTGCTGAACAACATAAGTGATATCAGATAGAGCGAAAGTGAGGTACTGGAGCGCACCCACAATGGAACAGATCAAGAATGATGTAACTAAAGGCAATAGAAAGCTTAGATTTTGTGTCGACGGGGGTGGAGATCGATGGGGCGCAAAGAAACCATCTTGGCTCGCTCAAGAAAATTTCATGAGTGAACCGCGTTTGATGTGAGAAAAGCCCATTCACATTGTATTGTACATTAATGCCAAGAAAGAAATGAAGGTTCCCGATGTTAGTCATTGCAAATTCAACCTTAAGCTTCTGAGTTAGCCACTTAAGAAGGGCGGGGGAGGAAGCAGTGTGGATGATATCACCAACATAGAGAAGTAAATAGGTCATGTCTGTCCCATGTGAGAAAGTGAAAAGGGGCATGTCAGACTTGCAACAATGAAATCCCAAGGTATGAATGAAACCTGCAAATCTATGGAACCATGAGAGGGGAGCCTACTTCAGACCATATAGAGCCTTCTTGAGCTTGCAGAGATACTGTGGTCTAGCTGGGTCTTGATATCAAGAAGGCTGGCTGGCATAGAATGTTTGTTTTAGAGTCCCATGAAGAAGGGTATTTTTAACATTAAGTTGATGAATCGGCCTACCCCGTGAGAGATCAATGCTGAGTACAATCCGAAAAGTAGCTGATTTGATAACAAGACTAAGGTTTCATCATAATAAACTTCGAATCGATGGTTGAATCCACAAACCACCCATCGAGTTTTGTACTTGGTTAACTCTACGGAGGGGGTTAATTTATGAGGGAAAATCCATTTACCAGTGATATTATTTTGATGGGGGAGGGGAGTACTATTTCCCATGTATCATTCTTTATCAAAGCATTAAACTCATCAAACATAGTAGCATGCGAGTTTGGATCTTTGAGCACACTATGGTAAGTTCGGGGAAAGGGGAAGATATGGGCAGTGGTGTTAAGATTGAGGATTTGTTTTGGTCGTGAGATGCTAGCTTTAGAGCGAGTAACTATGGGGTATTGATTTGAAGCGTGTGGACAAGGTGGGAGTGGGGTGGGTAAAGTCATGGGGTGGGACTATTTTTAGTTTATTGTGTGTGCAGTGGGAAGAGGGGTGTGTTGATCTAGGGTTGCGGAGGTGGCCCGTAGAGGGGAGAGAAGTGGGTTGTTGGAGTGAGGGTAGGCAGTTGATGGCAGGGTGTCACCCTCCGTGGAGTCAAGGAAATTTAGGTCAGTGGTAAAGGTGATGTGAGAATTGGGAAAAGTGGATTCATCAAAGATAACATGATGGGAGATGATTATTTTATTAGTTCGAAGGTCAAGACAACGGTACCCGCGTTAGTTGGAGGGGTAGCCAAGAAAGATACACCGAGCTGAGCATGGAGAAAGTTTGTTAGGAGCTATAGCGGAAAAGTTGGGATAGTAGAGACACCAAAAAAAAGTAAGTGAGAGTAACATGCTTGTGACTTATGAAGTATTGTGTGGTGTGTGGTTCAGGAGGGTAGTGGTTAGAAGAAGGTTGAAAGTATTGGATGCTATGTGGAGGGCTTTGACCCAAAATTCAGGAGGAAATTGGGCCTGAAAAAGGAGGGTGCGGATGGTGTTATTATTTGTAGAATGGTGTGCTTTGCTCGGTCATTTTGCTGGCTGGTGTGCGGACAGGAAGAATGAAACAGAATGCCTAATGATTAAAAAAATACTTTAAGTGGAGAATTTCGATATTCGGTACCATTTTCACATTGATCAACTTTAATAATGGTATTAAAATGATTTTTACTTAAGCAGTAAAAGAAGTAAGGTGAAGAAAAGCAGCAGATTTATGTTTTCAAGGAAAACGTAACACCACAACCCGCGTAACCCGAACCAACAAGTTAGTGAATCGGGTTGCTACTTATTTGGTATTCACATGCACAATATTTTTAAAAGACATTAAAAATGAAACATTCATTCATATTTATTGAAAAACAATTCATAAGTTAATGACAGTAAACAAAATCAAACATTGTGGAAGCCTTTAAAAAACAATGTTCAACATTCTTATATTTTTAGTAAACATTTCGTCAGAATATTTAAATTAAAACAAAACAGCTATGACCATCCACCAACGTCACGCCTCACTATCCTCCAGGTTTCTCATCCAATCCTTGATCTATACCTGAAAAAAGTATTGAGCGTGGAAGTATCTAACGCTAGAACAAACTCATAGACTAACATTCATTAATATATAATCACACAATATCTAAAGAATCAGCAAATATCATTATTGAATATCATGATTAATTATTAATCTATTTGAGTATGAATATATTTAGTTTGGTTTCAGTTTAGTTCAGATCATTTTGGCTATTTGGTTATAGATCAGATCTTCACTTTTTGGATCAAATTCAATTTTGGTTTCGGATCATTCAAGCTGAACGAGCCTAAAGAAAAGTTGGCAGTGGGTCCTAAAATTGTAAAAATGAGGTTTGGGCTTGATGATTCCACGATAGACCCCAAAGTAATTGAAGCACAAGTTGTGGCTCGGACAATGGGGCATCAACATCATCCAACCGATTTGCTATATTATTGAGGTTTTAACAATAAGTGGCCATGGGCGTGGTACCTTTCATGGTGGTGCGGAATTGATGTTCAAGTTGCATAGCCCGAGCGTGTTTGTTATCATGAAATAGATCATGAATAACACACTAGAGTTCAGAAGCAGTGGAAGTAGAAGAGATGACCAGACCAGAAACTTCATCGGTGATAGTAGAGATCAGAGGATCCAAGCCCGAATAAAAGCGTCAACATAGAACCATTTGTCATCATCAGAGGTGGAAGGGATGTGGGAATTTGAGAGAAATCCATGGAGGTTGAACCGACGAACAAGGAGCAAGAAGAGACGACTCCATTTTTTGTAGTTGGGCAGAGAAGCTTAACTGTATGGGGACATGAAGTTTGACATTAGAGATGGTGGTGAAGGCAAGGTGGGGAAGGTTTGATGGCAAAGTGGAGGAAGATTTTTCTATGGTCCATATGATGGAAAGTGGACGAAGGGGAGAAGGGAGATGACCTACCACAACTAATGGGGAAGGCCACCGGGAAAAGAAGCTGGCGTGAAGGAGGCTGACAAGAAACTGGCGAGGAGAAGGAGACCGGTATGGAGGTCGGCATACGAGGGAGCAGAGCAACTAGGGTTAGAGTAGCTCTGATACCATGAAGAATTATGATTTTCACGCAATTCCATAAACCAATAATGAATAATTACAACCATATATACTAGAATTCGTAATCCTAATAATGTTACGATAATATAAAAGGGAACCTATACAAATATAAAATCACAATATAAAATATATACAATATATTTAACACATATCAATGTAATTTCTCACTAATTAACATAAATATAATATGTTTATTGTAAGACAGAATCAGTTTGGGGTCTTATCGGTTTGGGGTCTTATCAGTTTCGGGTCTTATCGATTCCCGATTTAATCGGTTTTGCATTTAATCGATTTTGGATTTAAACTTTTGATTACTGTATAAAAATTTGTACCATTATAAAAATAATTTGGATTAGAAATTAAATAAATTCAGTGAATCCTCATTAACCATAATAGGATACTAAATTTTGGAGGTGGAGGTGAGGTATGTATGTTTACTCACAATATTTTACTTCATTGAGTGTTGGCAGGGTTGCATGCAAGAGAAGCGGAGGGGCAAAGTTCACGATAACAGGGAACCCATTCTTTAACCTAATAGAAGTGACAAATGTGGGGGGAGGAGGAGACATTGAGAAGGTTGAGGTGAGAGCAGAAGGAAGGGATAGATGGATAATGCTGAAGAGGAATTGGGGTGAGAAGTGGGAAACCGATGAGAAACTTGCTGGGAGCGCTCTCACATTCAGGGTCACCACTACTGATGGAAGATTCATTACTTCTCATAACGTCGCTCCTAAAGGGTGGCAGTTTGGCCAAACCTTCGAGGGCCAAAACTTCTGATGGAATTTCACCCATGCATCCATGATTCCATGTGTGTATTTATATGTAATTCAAAAAGGCAATATAATGGCACAAACCTTCTTTTGATCTACTCCCTTCATCCTAGTGTACTTGTCCGATTTGATTGTTTCGAGTCAAATTAGATCAACTTTGAGCTTCAATTAAATAAAAATTATAATGTATTTTAGTATAAAAATTATTTTATTATATTTATGTTATTGAAAACTTTCAAAATTATATTTCATTATACTAATATGTCATACAAAGTGAGAGTAATTGAATCTTAAAGTTTATATATACAATTTGACTCGAAAAAGTCAAACTGGACAAATACACTGGGACAAAGGTAGTATTAATTTTCATTTTATGTCACTGCATAAATGCACTACTATAATTTTAAAAAATAATCGCAATGGACAAAAAATGCAACGTTTACAATGTTGGGATTTTAACCACGTAAGACAATGAAAAACTGAGAATATAAGAAAAATAAGAGAATAAACACAAGAAGAATATATGAGAGAAAAAAAAGTATACTTCCACTATTTCAGGACAATATACAAAAAAACTCTCCCGGTTTATGAGGCTAAATTCCAGACACCTCATGAACAAATGTTTCCACATACTATGCTCGGATGTATTTTTCTGAGTAACTAAATACCAGTTACTACCTACACGCGCCCACACTCACCAAAACCCCTTGGATTTTCCGTGTGGTACTCTTGTGTAGAAACCCTCTTCTCCTCTCTCTCTCTCCCTCTCTCTCTCTTTCCGGTGGTGTGTTAACCACACACACACACATCACTCTTCATGGCTTTATACCCAAATGAGATCATGCCAACACTAAGAGCCAAAAAAGGATGACACATCCTTTGATTTCTGCCAAAAGCAAAAAGGCCACGCACATGCATCCATGTCCTCCACCTTTGTTCCTTTCCTCTTGCTTTCTTTTGATTCTTCTTCTTCTTTTCTATTTTCTTTTGATGATTAATCAATTTCTAACAAACTGAAGAAACTAATTTAGGAGTAATTTCATGTTTGTATTCAAGAAGGATTGCTCCATATATACAAGGTAAAGAGAAGACTCCTCTACAAGGAAGGTCTCTATACAAGGCAAAGCTAAAAATAAGGAGAGAATAATTCTAGCTACCATAAACAACAAACCTTAATTAAATAAATAATCTTGCCTAAAATATACGTGTATTTCTGTAAAATTTGGTGAACTGAATGACTTGATTGTTTCATTGATACCGGGGGATATATATACAAGTTACAGTTACAAGCCCAATAAGATAGGCCCACCATGGTACAAGATATACATAAACTAATATCTATACATAATATACGCTAACACTCCCCCTCAAGTTGGAGCATATAAATAAAAAATGCCCAACTTGGACAAAAGAGAACGAAAAAGAGGACCGGGGAGCGCCTTCGTGAAGATATCAGCTGTCTGCAGCCGCGTAGGAACATAAGTTGTGACTATATGAGCACGCTGTAGGCATTCCCGAACTATATGACAATCGATGTCGATGTGTTTTGAACGCTCATGAAAGACCGGATTAGCCGCAATGAAGAGAGCAGACTTATTATCACAATACAAACGCGGAGTAGCAACACAAGGGACCTGTAAAGCGGCCAAAAGACCACGGAGCCACTAGATTTTAGCGCAAGCGTTAGCCATGGCGCGGTACTCCGCCTCTGCAGACGAACGGGACACTGTAGTTTGCTTCTTAGTGCGCCAAGAGATAGGGGACCCACCAAGAAGGACAAAATAACCGGTGACAGAGTGACGAGTGAGCGGGCAACTCGCCCAATCTTAATTTGAATAGGCCGTCAAAGTCAGGTCACTATCTCGACGAAGGAGTATACCCTATCCTGGATGCCCTTTAAGATACCGGAGAACACGAAGAGCCGCGGTCCAATGGTTTAGACGTGGAGCCTGCATAAACTGAGACAAGGCATGAACAGCATAACAGATATCCGGCCGAGTGATAGTCAAATACAACAAACGGCCAACAAGACGACGATACTTGGCAGCATCCCGAAGCTCAGCACTAGTAGAACGGGCTAGATTATGGTTGTTGGGCAGTGGGGTGTCGGCAGGCTTGCATCCGGAAAGGTTGTGCGCCTGAAGAATGTCCAAGGTGTATTTTCGCTGATTAAGCACCATACCAGTAGAAGATCGAGCACACTCTATACCCAGAAAATAAGAGACCGGTCCAAGATCTTTGAGCTGAAAACAAGCATCCAAGTACTTCTTAAAGGAAGTGCACAAAGAGGGATTATTGCCTGCAACAAGAATGTCATCCACATAAACAAGAACAACAAGTATATCAGGACCACGACAGAGAACAAAAAGAGTATGATATGCATGAGCCTGGCGAAAACCATATTGACGCAAAGCTAGACGAAGCTTGGCAAACCAATTACGGGGAGACTGACGGAGCCCATATAAAGACTTTCGCAAATGACATACTTTCCCAGGGAACAAATGAGAGTATCCAGGTGGGAGCCTCATATAAATCTCATCCTGAAGATCCCCGTGTAAAAAGGCATTGTTGACATCCAACTGGTCAACCTGCCATCCGCGTGCAACTACGACAGACAAAAACACCGAACGGTAGCCAACTTGGCTACGGGGGCAAATGTATCAGTGAAGTCGACCCCCACCTCCTGATGATTTCCCAAGACAACCAGACGTGCTTTATCCCGCTCCTTAGTACCGTCAGACCGATATTTAGTACGATATACCCACTGACAGCCAAGGGCCCGCCGATTAGGAGGTAAATCAGTAATCTCCCAGGTATGATTACGCTCCAATGCATTGAATTCCTGTGCCATAGCGTCCCTCCAAGAAGCAAACCTGACGGCTTCTCTATAAGAAGTGGGAACCGGGGAAGCATCTATAGCACCAACAAAGCCCTTGTACCTGTTATGCAACTTATCATAATGAACATAGTTAGTAATCGGGAACCGGGTGCCAGACGAGACTGAGCGTGGTGAAGAGGAAGACGGAGTGACGGTAGACACAGAATGGAGGACATAGTCATTGAGGTGGGTGGGGAGGTGACGTGGGCGAGGAGGTAAAGGAGAAGGAGACGGGACGGACGAGGGAGACTCGCCCGTCGACTGGACAGTGACGGGAAGAAGGGGTTGTTCGGTTGACGGGACTGGTACGGGAGACGGCGGAGAGATGACGGGCTGCTCGGTGGTAGTGTCACCGATGGAGGCTGCCGGCGGAGAGACAACAGGAAAGTCGACGTCGGCGGGGTTTAAGACGGGTTGGACGGAATTGGTGGTGTTTGGAACAGAGAATGAGAATTGTGATTCGTCAAACACGACATCCCTAGCGTGAAAAAATTGGTGAGTGTCCAAGTTATACACCCGCCACCCTTTTGTGCCATAGGGATACCCAATAAACATGCATTTCACGCTACGGGAAGAAAATATGTTTAGGGGTTTAGGTGTTTGACGGACAAAACAAAGACAACCAAAAACCCGGAGATGACTCAAATCTTGTGGTTTGGACGAGAGTACTTCAAGAGGAGATTTCCCACCCAAGAGTTTTGTCGGTGTGCGATTGATTAAATAGACAGCAGTTTTGACACATTCCCCCCAAAATTCAACTGGAAGAGACGCTTGGAACATGAGAGAACGAGCAACGTTGAGAATGTGACGATGCTTTCGTTCTACTCGACCATTTTGCTGAGGTGTACCAACATACGACGTTTGGACACAAACACCCATGGAATCATAATATTGACGCAAAGGGGCATTGAGAAATTCAGTGCCATTATCAGACCGGACTACTTTGATGATTTTAGAGAATTGGGTGTGAATCATGGTAAAAAACCGTTTAAGACAGGATGTTACCTCACTTTTAGTACGAATAAGATATACCCAAACAGCACGAGAAAATTCATCAACAATTGTGAGAAAATAATGAGCACCAGATGAGAAACACGGGGAATAAGGACCCCATAAATCACAATGAATTAAATCAAAAATTGCTTCAGCTTTATTATGACTAACAGGAAAGGAAGAACGAGTTTGTTTAGACAAAAAACAAATCTCACAAGCTTGAAGTTTCTTGATAACAGAACCTGACTTACTGGACTGTAAAAGGGAAATAATATCTGAGGAAGGATGACCCAAACGTTGATGAAGAAGCAAAGGATCCACGTTAGCCACATTAGCCGACGCAGAGGAAGAAACCAGGATGTATACTACGTTTCGCTTTTCACCATGTCCAATCACCATCTTCGACGAACGGTCCTGTATTACACAACCAAAATCATTAAAAGTAACATAACAGGTGGTGTCTCGAATCAAACACCCGACAGAAATCAAATGACAATGCAATGTGGGGACGTAAAACACATGATGGAGAACCAGACTAAAGGTCACACGGACACTTCCCTTTTTAGTAGCCTGAATCCGGGAGCCATCGGGAAGACAAATAGGATGAGAGAAAACATACTCAATATTGAACATGTGAGACAGAGTACCCGTCATATGATGAGAAGCACCGCTATCAATCAACCAATTACACGAGGTTGTAGTCATCTTGGTAGTTTTTTTTTTATGCTAATGTTTTTCACACCAAACAAATCCAAACTGCTGGACAAATTGCAAAATTATAACGGACAAATCTGGACAAATTGAGTTCTTGGACAAACCACTTGGACGGAACACAGCACTTTTGGGGAAAAGAAAAAAAAAACTTTGCTGCGGCAATTGGGACGGACAGCGACTTCAACAATTGGACTGACAGAGCAATTGGACAAGTTGCTGCGGCAATTGGATGGCGACGATTCTGCACAGATGACCGGAAAAGGGACGGCGACTTCAACAATGAATTCTGACAGATCTTCTTCGCAGAACACCGGAAAAGGGACGGTCGAACAGGGGATTCACCGGCGAGACAGGGGACTCGGACAGAGACGCGAGACGGTTCACCGGCGAGGAACTGATGGCGTTCCAGCGAGGATAACCAGCGGAGACGACCGGCGAATCGAGAGACGGACTTGCAGCTGTAGACCTAGGGTTTTAGGGATTTGGCTCTGATACCACGTAAAATTTGGTGAACTGAATGACTTGATTGTTTCATTGATACCGGGGATATATATACAAGTTACAGTTACAAGCCCAATAAGATAGGCCCACCATGGTACAGGATATACATAAACTAATATCTATACATAATATACGCTAACAATTTCCAATAGGCCCCCTCAAGGTGGAGCATGAGGATTTCGAATGCCCATCTTAGAAAGAAGAAACTTAAATTGTTGTTGCCCTAAAGCCTTCGTAAAAATGTCGGCTAGCTGTAGATAAGTACGAACGTGCTGGATGGCAATCGAGCCAGAGAGAACGAGATCGCGAACGTAGTGACAATCAACCTTAATATGTTTCGTACGCTCATGGAAAACTGGGTTGGACGCAATATGAAGAGCAGCCTGATTATCCCCAAAGAGGCGCATGGGCCGAGAATGAATCACACCCAAAAAGCGAAGAAGAGATTTTAACCAAGTTAATTCACTCGCGGTAAGAGCCATCGAACGATACTCAGCCTCGGCCGAAGAACGAGAAACAGTGGTCTGCTTTTTGGTTCTCCAAGAAACAGGAGAATGTCCAAAAAGAACAAAATATCCAGTAAGCGAACGACGACTAAGCGGGCAGCTGGCCCAGTCGGTATCACAATAAGCGTACAACTGAAGATCACAATCAGAAGACAGGAAAAGGCCCTATCCTGGATTGCCTTTTAAGTAGCGAAGAACGCGAAGACCCGCATCCCAATGATCCTGTCGTGGATTTTGCATGAACTGTGAAAGTATATGCACAGAATAGCATAACTCTGGACGTGTAACTGTGAGGTAAATCAGTCGTCCAATAAGGCGACGATAGACACTGGGATTAGGAAGAAGGGGGGAGTCAGATAGCACGAGCTTATGATTCTGCTCCATGGGAAACGATGCTAGTTTGGAGCCAAGTAGACCAGTTTCAGTGAGAATATCAAGAACATATTTGCGCTGACAGAGAAATAGACCAGCATCAGAGTGGGTAACTTCAATTCCGAGAAAATATTTAAGCCGACCAAGGTCCTTCATATGAAAACAAGTACCCAAGTATGTTTTGAAAGCAATATTTGCAACATGATTATTACCAGCAATAATGAGATCATCCACATATACTAGGACATGAATAGAGATATCACCACAAGCATAGGTGAAAAGAGAATAGTCGGCTTTCGATTGCACAAAACCATAAGCTCGAAGAGATGCTGTTAGCTTGGCAAACCAATTACGAGGAGCCTGGCGGAGACCGTACAACGATTTTTGTAAACGACAAACCTTGCCCGAAGATGAAGAATAGAAGCCTGGAGGAAGACGCATATAGACCTCTTCGGACAAATTGCCATGTAGGAATGCGTTATGAACATCCATTTGATCGATTTCCCAACCACGAGCGATGGACACGACCAAGAAAACGCGAACCGTGACCATTTTGGCGACAGGTGCAAATGTCTCATTATAATCAATCCCTTCAACTTGATTATTTCCAAGGACAATGAGACGAGCTTTAAAACGCTCAATCGAACCATCTGCCTTACATTTAATTTTGAACACCCATTTACACCCGATAACATCCTTGTGTGGTGGGATAGAAACAATACGCCAAGTACCATTACGTTCGAGAGCATCAATCTCAGAACGCATGGCCTCACACCATCGAGGGTCTTGAAGGGCCTTTCGATATCCAGTAGGCTCGCATTCATTATCAAGAGCAGCTGTAAAAGTTTGATGCGAAGCAGAAAAAGCACTACAAGTGACAAACTTATGAATAGGATAGGGTGTATCTGAGGATTTGGAAGGGGTGACAGTGGAGGAGGGTGAGTCTATGTGCGAAACTGTATTGGTGCAAACATAGTCCGTATGCCATGCCGGAGTACGGCGAGTGCGCTGAGGGCGTCCCTGGTCCATGGCAGAAGGTTGGGCCGACACAGGGGGCTGAGTAGGAGCACTGTCCGGGGTCGCCACTGATGGAAGAACGGAATCTGGAGAAGAGACAGTAGGAACTGGCGGCGAGAGAACAGGTTCTGTGCACAGTTCCTGTTGGTCGGGCAACAACTCGGGAAGGGGATCAAAAATGGCAGGATGGGGAGTATCACTTTGTGTAGAAGATGGCGTTCTAGAAGCTGAAGCATAGGGAAACACATGTTCAAAAAAAATTTGACATCACGAGAGACAAAAAATTCATGTGTTTCAAGATCAAACAAACGCCAACCCTTTTGTCCATGAGGGTAACCGATAAATATGCATTTTCGGCTTCGGGAAGAGAACTTATCAGGAACACGAGAGCCGAGTTTTGCATAACAGAGGCAACCAAAAACCCTTAAGTGGTCAAAAGTAGGGATCTTATTGTAAAGCATTTCAAGAGGACATCGACCGGAATTAAGTGTCGTTGGAGTGCGATTAATCAAGTAGCCTGCAGCAAGAATACACTCACCCCAAAAATCAATGGGTAAGTTAGCCTGAAAACGAAGCGCACGAGCCACCTGTAAAATATGTCTGTGCTTACGCTCAACCCGTCCATTTTGTTGAGGCGTGTCAACACAGGAGGCTTGGAACAGAATACCATGGGTAGAAAAGAAACGTTGTAAGGGTTTAAATTCTGTCCCATTATCACTACGGACGGTCTTCACGGGTAAATTAAACTGTCTCTCAGTCATAGCACAAAAATTTTCAAGCAACTTAGGAACCTCAGATTTAGCCACAAACAAACAAATCCAAATAGCACGAGTAAAGTCATCAACAATGGTGAGAAAAAAATAAGCACCACTACTGGAGGGAACCTTGTAAGGACCCCAAATGTCACAGTGAATTATTGAAAAAGGTGCGGTGGCACGAGAGTCACTCAAAACAAAAGAATTACGTGTCTGCTTAGCACGAAGACAAATGTCACAAGGATGTAAAAATTGCAATTGCTTATGACGAACATCAGCAATAGGCAAGTGTTGAACAACAGTACGCGCAGGATGGCCTAACCGTCGGTGCCATAGATCTCCCACATTATTCTGAACGGAATGACACGAACTAGACATACCAACAACTTTTAGCACATAGACTCCTCTTCGTTCCTCAGCCGCTCCAATCAAAGTCCTCGTGGTGCGGCCTGTATAATCAAAAATTTGTCAGTCATAGTGATAAAACTGTTCGTGTCACGTAACAAACGTGAAGTGGAGATGAGATTAATGGTCATATAAGGGACGTAAAGAACATGACGTAGGCTCAAGACATTCCCCAAATAAACCGTTCCTGCGTGGGTGGCCAAGATTGGACGCCCATCTGGTAAACTAACCACAATAGAATCAATATGATGCAAATTAGATAAAGAAGAACGTGCCCCGGTCATATGATAAGAAGCGCCACTATCGAGTAACCACCTAAGAGAAGACATACCACTCAAAGTGTCACCATTATTTTTAAATTGAGCAAGAAAAGTAGAGAGTTGACTCCATTGCTCGGCGGACATATTGGGAAAAGAAGAAGTGGAAGACCCGGACTCTGGTCCTTCACTCGCAATAGTCTGTCCAGCGGCAGCAATAGCAGGAGGTCGGTTGTTGCCGCGGCCGCCACGACTTCCACCTCCGCGTCCACGGCCCCCACTACTTCCACCTCCGCGACCTTTTGGTTTATTCCATGTGTCCGGGAAGCCGTGAAGAAGAAAACAAGTCTCGATCTCATGACCCGATCGCGAGCAGTGAGTGCAAAAACGGCCCCCTGGAAAAGACCCCCGTTGGTCGCCGGTAGGTAGAGCACGGTTCCCACTGGATTTGTGAACCGCGGCAGCAGTAGCCGGAGATGGTGGCGACATAGTCATCCCGAAGCTAGCAATTTCACTGCGGGCATCATGATCACGAGACACATGATGATGGTGTTCCTCCCCAACAATCCGATTATACGTGAAAGCCAAGGACGGGGTAGGACTGGCACCCAAAATCTGAGAACGTACCGTGCCAAAAACAGCCTCGTCCAAGCCAAGAAGAAATTCATGAACTTTCTCTATCTCACGTTGTGCCCAGAAATTTTTCTCAAGATCACACGTACACTTTTGACAAATACATTTAGGAATAATGAGATGACCATCAAGTTCATCCCACAATCCTCGAAGACGGCCATAATAGACCGTAACGAACGAGCCTTGTTGACGAGTATTCCGAATTTGCTCCTTGAGTTGATATAAGCAAACACCATCACTCACCGAGAAACGACCTTTAACATCCAACCACAAAGCTCGAGTCGTGTCCATAAACGACACAGTAGAGCGAATAGAAGCATCAAGGGACGTCATGATCCAACCTTGAACCATTGAATTTACACTGATCCAAGCATCAACGTCATGAGGCGCAGCCGCTGGAGACAGTGTCTGAGTTCCATCAATGAACCCAAGTTTGCGTTTGGCCCGCAACGCATTCTTCATCGAACTCTCCCATTCACGATAATTTATATCACCTTTCAAATGAACACTACTAAGAGAAGCGCCGGGAGTGTCGGAGGGATGCAAGAAAAATGGTGAAGTAGGATCAATAAGTTTGCTTTTGATAGGAGTTTCTGCCATGCTTTGCGTTTTTTTTAAAACGTCGATTTGTCGACGGAAAAGGAAGAAGAAACAGCGGAAGAACGCTCTGATACCATGAAGAAACTAATTTAGAAGTAATTTCATGTTTGTATTCAAGAAGGATTGCTCCATATATACAAGGTAAAGAGAAGACTCCTCTACAAGTAAGGTCTCTATACAAGGCAAAGCTAAAAATAAGGAGAGAATAATTCTAGCTACCATAATTAACAAACATTAATTAAATAAATAATCTTGCCTAAAATATACGTGTATTTCCAATACAAACTCCACATTGATTAAATAATCAAAAGTTCTGTAGCTCTACCTCACTTGTCCTGTGACACTACAAGAAAAAAGTCCTATAGTGTGAGTACAAACCATAGCTAAAGTAAGAAATACCCTCATTAAAGCATTTTAATGAGGGGAAATTTACTCTCATCACCCGTCACTATAGCCTCCGTAGCTAATTATAAATAATGACGGGCTTAAGGTCCTCTCATTAAAAACTATTTAATGAGAGTACTTTTACCTTCATCAAAATGAACTTTTAATGAAAAAATTCTCTTCATAATTAAATACCAATTAATAGTATTAAAAATTCTTCATAATTATATTTTTTACCATTGAATATCCCTTCATTATATATATATATATATATATATATATATATATATATATATATATATATATGTATGTATGTATGTATATAGAGAGAGAGAGAGGAGGGAGATAAAGCATTTATTAAAAATGGATGTCAATAAAAGAACAAGAGGGGAGGACCAAACCGAAGCCCCTCGGACAAAAAAGAAGCCTAAAAATACAAACTAAAAGTAAAAGCCAACAAAATTGTAACCTAAAAGCAAAAATCCATATTATTCACATTCTAGCAAATGTCGAGCGTGTACATAACCACAAGACCTTCAGCATTGTTTGGTCCTCCGCTATGAAGGCTACTATTCTGCATCAACTGCAATAAAGCAATGAACATCAATTCTACATTTGCCAAAGCCACAACCTGCAATACATACATATAATCAAAAATTACCAAACAACCAAACATATGCAACCTTGTCTTAACAAACCAATGAGAGAGCCAAAACCTCAAAGAATCAGCTGAGAACAAAAAATTCTTTGTATGCATCAAGACACAGACAATACTTGAAGCCACAGCCCGAAGTCACCAATCCCCAATTTAATTATTTTGACACCATGGTAGTTTGCTTCCTTCTTTCATATGCTACCTTAGTCAATGTTATAATACAATAGCAAACCAAATTCTTGAGCTGAAATATAAAACCAATCTACACTTCTGAGCTGATCCACACCAGGCCCAAGCATCTGTAAATTCAAACATCTATTGATAGTTGATAATGTACAGACCATTTAAAATCAATCTCATAGCCAATAACAGGCTCTAAGTATGATCAACAATGAAAGTCCAACTAAAATCATACATTAAACCCTCTAAAGGTGTAATGGAAATCCTTAGAAACCAACTACAAAACCAATATAGGCCAGCAATAACAAAGAAAAAAGTCTATAAGCAAAACCAAAAAAAGCCTGAAAGAAACTACCTTCAGTATATAAGAAACTGTAATGAAATGCTGCTCTACACTTATAAGATTGAATCTAAACTGCTGCTATCTTGCACATCACAAACAGAGTACTAAAACATAGAAGCGCAACATTGTTCAGTCTAATATGGAGTATAAAATAATTACTCTCTGTAGAAAATGATGCTCATTGGACCATATCAAACTTTGAAGAGAGAGAATTAAATTAAAGAAACTTGAGGTTGCCAACAATTCTTTTATCTGTTTGCAACAACTTCTTTGAGGTTGCCTACCTATTTTGTTGGAGTTAGTCCCCTTATATTGAATCTGAGTGAGGTAGCCTCTTGACAACATAACAAACTTCTTATGAAATCAACACTGAAAACAAATAAAAAAATATGGAGTAAAAAAGAATGAAGTAATAAGAGGATTATCAAATGTGTTATATGTCAATCTTACCAATATAGAGATCCATTCCGAACTATATATCGCTTATTCTACAAAATTGACTAAAGTTATTATGGACATAAGTCCATTCGATTATCGAGCATGGTATGGGTTAGGGAAAGCGTACCAGATTATCAGCCGGCTAAAACACGGGCATCAGGGTGGCTAAGAACAAATGTTATAAAGTGAATACAAATTACATATCAGAATTTTGGGTCGAACTTTTATCTCTTCAAATGAGAAATAATTTTTTTTTAATTTAGACCTATATAATGAAACTATGGAGAATATCCCTTTCAAAACTTTCTTTTTTTTTTGAAAGAGTTGACACTCTTTAGATGAAATGTTAATTTTAACAACTAATTGGTGGAAGTTTCTAACTATGACCATTACAGTTCGAAGGTACATATGTTCAATTATGAGTTCATATTATACATCTTAGAACTAACTCACATCCCTTGCACTAACTTTTCTTTGAACTTAACCTATAAGACAAGAAACAAATTTCCACCTATAAAACAAATTTATTTCCCTTTCAGTTTATTAACATCAAACAGAGCAGCAGAACTTGAAACTAAACACAAAACATTACAAGAAATTAAAAGAAATCAAAACATTAATCAATAAAAAACAGTGTGTCAGTAGTCTTCTCTACATCAAATAGAGCAACAAGACACAAAACTGAACTCAAAACAGTACAAGAAATTAATAGAAATTAAAACACTAATCCAACAACAAATAGTGTGCCAATCTTCTCACAGTAAGAGAAACTCTTACAAAAAGTGAAACAAATGGGATATGATGATACAAAAATTAAAAAAACAAAAGCCCTAGGACTCTAGGAGTTCGCTTTGTTTGATTTATTTGTTGCGATTATGAACGAGATTATACCTCTTTGCATTTCAGAAATAGATTCAAAAAATCAAAAGTCAAAAAATCAAAAGAATTGGGAAAGAAATCGCACCTCTATATTGATTTTGCTTGCGGTTGAGATTGATGAAAAATAAAACCCTAGAGGTCTTGCCGACACTCCAAATTGATGCGAACGATGTTGCTTGTAGAAGGATTCGTGCCCTAAGAGTCTTGTTGGGTGAGTCGACGGTGAGAGTTCAGAAGTAGGTTATAGAGATGAATTTGGTACCATGGGTAGAATCGGGAGAGATGGAGATAATCGTGCGTGATGGATACACGGGCAAATTATACGGTACATCCGGCTGTACCTTCCTTTAGGTACATCTTGGTATTTTTGTAAATTTTACAAACTTTTTTTCCAATGCCCAGAACATATGTATGATAACTATTATATATGACAATGAGTAACAGCAGATTTGAGAACGAGTACCATATTCTTATTCAATACAAACATGAATAAACCTGAGTTTTAAATTCTCTATACTCAGAGAGTATAAATGAGTAGGAACGAATTGAATAGAGAAAGAAGTTGATGATGGTACTGAACTTTTTAATTGTGAAAAAATTGAACAATACTTTGTTTCAGAATGAACTTTTCCTTATTTGAGAATGAGTATTGTTTTTTTAAGAATGAACACTACGCTATTTATTATAATTATATTAGACAAATGTGTAAAAATGAGTACTTCTTTATTTTAAAATGAGTACTACCTTTGCCAGAATGAGTACTACGTATTTCGAAATGAATGTTTATATTTGTACGAGAATGAGTACTACTTTATTTCAGAATGAGTACTACCGGTATGTACCTATTTCTAGGTACATTCGGATGTACCATATACCAACTCACGGATGAGTGTAGAATAAGGGCTCTGCGTTTAAACAGGTAAAATAAGAGAATATTTTTAACTTTTTTTGGTAGGGAGAATATTTTAAACTAATAGTAAAAGTATTAATATTTTATATATTTATAATGAGAGTATTTTACTAATAGGAAGAAAAGGAAATAACTTGGTCATAAAAAATTAAAATATTTAATAAGAGTAAATTCCCGTCATTAAAAACATATCAAAAACACTTTTAATGAAAGTTTTTCTTACCCGTCATAATTGGTCCGTAGTTAAAAGTAGTATTTCTTGTAGTGTGAGATCATTGCTGATAATTATAATTTTTCGGATAGTGAACCTTCCCAATAAAGGGTAAGTTTTCTCTCCGAGTGTCGTGTCTCTTAAGGAGTGGACGAAGGGAATCAGCTAATATCTCTGATTAGGCAAAGGTTAGGATAGGTTTATGAAAGTCTTCTTTGAATGGAATAAATGAGAGCAATAGTGAAAGTAAATTTATTCACATAGTATAAGCAAGATTTATACCAAGGGTCAGGACATCACCTGGGTTAATTATAGCACATTTAATTAATAGTTGGAACGATTGTATTTTGACTATTACTAACTTATTACTAGGATTCGTAATTATCCTGGTTGACTTGGATACTATAGCTTTACGGCATGTAATATTTTCTATTTGTCTTAGTACATTATGACGTCAGGATTATCATAATATTCGACTAAGGACATTTTAGACATAGCCTCTATTAATGTAACAACCTTATAATCAGAACATCGTAGTACTAATCTACGCTACTAGAGCGCTAAGTCTATGGACTAAATCTTGTTTAGATACACGAGATGTATAAACAACCTTTAGGGCCTTTTATTCTTGATAAATATTCAGATACTAATTCATACATTGACCTCTAGGGCTCATATATCCAATAGCGGGCGCCCTTACCGCGTGCGCTGCGGGTGTCCTAGTATTCAACAACGAACAACAACGGGCCTCAGAAGCCGTAGAGACCGACGAGCATCCTTTTCCGCGGATGCATACGTGCGCCTATTAACCGCAGGCGCAGTTGTTAAGGCACCTAGATGAATTGCGCAATCTTCTATCGATTAATTTACATTATGTTTTTATATATAGGGTCTATTCATTTGGCCTGAAAGAATTAACTTCCAACTTTTTCCAACTCCTAATATTTTTTTTCAAATTCTTCTATTTCTTCCAACTCCTAGTTTCTTCCAACAACGACTAAAAAATATATTTACATATGATTAATAAATAATAACATCATATATCCAAATTTATAGCATATTTATGATTAATAAATAATAACATCATATATCCAAATTTATAGCATATGATGAATTATTTTTTATTCAAAATTAGTTGTCTTACATATTTATTAGCAGGGTGATTATTTCATTGAGTAATCTTTTTAACATTTTACTTTTTTCAACATTTTTCAACTCCTTTCAGTTTTTCCCAAGAGTAATTTACCTACATAGCACTAAAACAAAATGACTTTCCTTAAACAACGTCATATGTTTTTATTTTCCAATGTAGCACTTTTAGTCATTACTCATTAGTCTTTATTCAAAAAAATTCATCATCACTGGACATTATTCCTCCTTCTAGACATTATTAGGTGCTATTTAGAGAATAAAAAAGTTTAAGTCCTACATTGGGAAGTTGAAACTGGACTAAGGGTATTATGGTAAACTTACCAACTCTCCTTCTAGACTAATAATATTCTAACTCCTACACTAATAAGTTTATGTAGTCCTACATTAAGGGTATTATGGTAAACTTCCCAACTCTCCTTCTATACTAATAATATTCTAACTCCTAGTTTTTTCTAACTTCTTCCAGTTTCTTCTAACATAGTGGGGTTATGATACTAGATTACTACCAGATTAGAGTGAAAGACTAAACTAGCAGTAAAACCTAAGAAAAAATTAAAATAAGATTTTAATATTGTTATCTTCAAAATAGGATTTTTGATGTCAATAATATCAACATATAGTACGAAAAAACATTGAAAAATGTCAATATACAGTGATACATTATCATAGTTCCAAAGTCCTAAAGTTTAAAGTGAAATTTTACTCCTATATTTAGGCCGTTTCTTTAAAAATGAATACAATTGTTATGTACTCCCCATGTCCCAAAAAGATTACCATATATTATTTTTTTGTCAAATTGTGACATACCTTAACCACACTTTCAATTTTAAGTATCATTACAATGAAATCAAATTTGAAAGTTTTCAATAAGATAAAGGAAAAATTATTCAAAATAATCCTAATTTTACATTGTCTTTCAAAAATAATCCCACCTTTTAGTGTGATGCATAATAGAAATCACTCTAAATAGGACTAACACATAGATAAAAGTACCAAAATAGGACTTGTATGCTTTTTTCAAAATAGGACTTTGCACTGTGATAATGTGGCACTGTACACGTGCACATTACATATACTTTTTGTTTATGTACATGACCATGTTTGGTAATGTAAACGTATTTTAAGTTCTATTTTGGGAATAAAAACATGGAAGTCCTACTTTGATATATTTCCAATTGTTAGTCCTACTTTGGTCTTTCTCCCGCTGCATAATAATTCCAACTTTACTAAAATTTGCGAGTTTTGGGTCGGCGTCAAGTTTCTAATGGCGGGTTTACGGAAATGCTTGTCTTGCGCAACAAAATGAAAATTGGGTTATTTTTGATGAATTATCATTTTTTTTATTTTTTTATTTTTGTTTTTTTAATTTTTCATTTAAATTTTTAAAATTACTTTCTCCTCCATCTTTTCTTTTTCCTTTTTTAAAGATTAGTCTTACATTTAAAAAAATAGATATAAAAAAATCAGAAATGTAACTTAAATGATACAAAATTAATAAAATAAATAAGATAATCAATAGAAACTATCTTGAAATTGGTAATAAATAAAATAAAAATATATGGAGTGGTGAGTTTTAATATCTTACGCACTATACAAAGTATTAACGTATCACTTCTTATTTTTTAGAAAAAAATTATCTAGAGTAATTCCAACTTTATCGGACAGCTTGTACTTTAAAAAATAAATAGTACATTAAGACCCTGTTCTTTAGAGCTTGAACTATTAACTTCTAATTTCTTCTAGTTCCTTCCATTTTCTTCCAGTTTCTTCCAGTTTCTTACAGTTCTTCCAATTTTTTCCAGTTTCTTGCAGTTTTTTCTAATTTTCCGGTTCTTTCTAGTTTTTTCCAACTATTTATATTTTCTTCAAACTTTTTCTACTTTCTGACAAATCACTCTAAAAACGATATATTATTATTATTATTATTATTATTATTATTATTATTATTATTATTATTATTATTATTATTATTATTATTATTATTACAACTATTATGTTCATAACTATAGTTTATAAATTATTCCATTTTTTCATCTCACTATTTTTATGATTCACTCATTATTATTTTTTCTTCAACTTTTATATATGAATAATACCATTTTTTGTATATTAATCTATATGATAAAATATGAAAACATCGATATTTTAAACAATTTAAAAAATTATGGGTAAAATAGTTACATAGAATGTTTTTTAGTATTGTAAAAATTATACTCCATATTTAGTATCTTAAATTAAGCCTAACTGCACTGTAGAATATTTAGAATATTAAGTGATATTTCATCTCTAAACTGCTTCATTACATCATTAGTTTGTTCGTCAAACAACATCACCTTGGACCTATCTTCTGTTGTTTATTTGCTGCCTCGGTGAAATTGGTATTTCTTTTCGATGAAGACGAATGAAATTGTGCAAAGTGCGTGTAACAATAACAATTTGAATTTGGTGCTCTTGTTTCATTTGAGGCATCCTATGGTGCAAAAATAGTTTTTTTGTGTGTATGAAAATAAAAATATTTTTTTATCTTAAAGGCATTCATAAAGATAACGTGAAGAAAACAAAAACAGAAATAATAATGTTAATAATAATTTATAACAATAAGAATTAGAATGAAAATAATATAAAAATACACAAAAAAAGTTTAATGTTTTTTTAGATTTTCTAATTTTTCTAGTTTTTTCAATTTTTTTTAATTTTTTCCAATTGCTTCTAGTTCTTTCCAATTTCTATCAGTTCTTCCAGTTACTTTCATCACCATCTACATATGAAGTCTAAGGCAGCAAGCTTAAACTAAGGCAAAGAATTTAAAAGCCAATCATCACCATCTACATATGAAGTCGTCAAGTAGGGATCAGCTTCTGTTTGCTTCATTTCTCTAGCATATGGTACCCTATATGTCATGTTGGCTCCAGGTCCACTGCAATCAAATTCCCCAAAATACACCGTCCTACACGTACAAATATTGCATGCATTAATACATATTTCATCACTTCTCAAAAAAGTTCTTATTTTGACTAAGTGTAAAATTAAGGAAATGCTAAATTGTAACTGACTTCCAATTTTACCCTTGATGTGATGGGTAAAAACTAAGATATGCTAGATAGATTATTAGAGAAAAAGTATGATGTAATAAGTAGGGTATGAAAATGTACGGGTAAAAATGGTTTTTCAATAAAAACTAGAAGTGTTTTGTTGGAAGTAGGAAAAATAAAAAAGGAAGTGTTTTTGAGAAATGAGGAGTATATAACTTTTGTTAGACTCTCTTGGAGAAGATGGTGTCATTTCGAGGCTTAGTTAATACTCCCTTCCTTCCTCATTAGCCTTTTTTATTTTCCTATAGATTTTTTCATTACCTTTTTTTAATATTTAAAATATCACAACTATATTCATTTACTTTATTTATTAGACCTCACTCACCTCATTTAATGCACTCCTACCATTTTTATTAAGGAGATTTTGATAATTTTTATCTTACTTAATGCACTCCACCTCAACCACAAAAAGTTAAAACGAGAATATCTTAGAGACAAGGAGGAAAGTATGATATTAACTTTTCCTCCATTCTTTCCATAAACAGTTTTCATCGGATATTACTTTGGCTTTGTTTCGTACGCCTGATCTGATTGAATCTGATCTGCTGATTAGGTCTGATCTGATCTGATTGTGTCTGATCTGATCAAATTGGATCTGAACTGATTGGTTCTGATCTGATCTGATTATACCTGATCTGATCTGATTGAATCTGATCTGATCTGATTCAGTCTGATCTGATCTGGTTGGATCTGATCTGATATGATTGGATCTGATTTTATCTAATTAGATCTGGTGTAAATGAATTTAAATTTGATTTAACTTAAACTTAAAATTATTAAAAAATTGAATACTTTTATGGTATGTTTGGGAACATGGATTTGGATTTCAAATTTGGATTTGGCTTAAATTCCATGTTTGGGAAACTTAAGCATTTTGAATTTGGATTTGAATCAAATTCTTTACATTCAAAACCAAGCTTAATTTGAAATCCATGCACCTCCCCTTGTCATTTGAAATTCAGGATTTCAAATTTTGGAATTGAAATACATGAATTGAAATGAAATGCTAGTTGCCAAACACTACCTTAAAGTATTACAATTCATATCCTTTATAAATTATATTTGGGAGTTTAACTCCCAGAATTTTGACATTTGTCATGCTGACGAGGATTTTTTTTGACACTTCATAAGCCATGTCATCATATTGGACTTATTACTTAATATTTCAAACGGGTTGTATAATGATTCATTACTTTGGACTTCTTTTATTTGGGCTACTCTGTGTGGAATTCATCCGCAAGTCTGAATGAAGCGAGACATCAGCGGCACTTTCCTTCGATTGCACCTCCCTGCGATATTCATCTTCAAATTGCTCCACCGCGAGATTCCAGAGAATATGTGATTGGAATTAATCTCTTTCCTTCTTCACGGTCCTTCTTCATTAAGATTCCAACGATCAGTACCAAGAATAGGTAACTTTCCCTTTTCTTAAAAAATCATAATTGTTTTTGGGATGATTGGCCTTCTTTCCTTCTTATGATGATAAGTCTGTGCGAAATTTGTTATTCTTTCGAATTTTCCGGTTTAAATCTCTGGATTTTCTACCCTTATTGCTGTGAGTTTCCTTTTTGCGATTTATATTAGGTCATATATAAATCAAATTTTAAGTTGGATAGAGACACGCAAGATTTTTCTGATAGAGACACGCAAGATTTTTCTGATTGGATAATCAAAGTTGGAGATGGAAAGCTTGGACAAGTGATTGATAGAATTGCTGACGTTGAAATTCCTCTCGAATTTTTGATTATAGATAACAGCTCACCCCTCAAAAGTATAGTGGACTTTACTTATCCGAACTTATTGGAGAATATGAGAAGTTATTCTTTTTTTGAAGACAGGGCACTACTAGCACCCACGCTCAAAGTTGTAGGAATGGTAAATGAATTTGTATCCCTCATTTCCGGAGATGAAATGGTGTACTTGAGTTCTGATTCATCATGCCAAGCAGATTCAAATGTAGGTGTTGATGGCGTCTGGATAACAGTTGAGTTTTTGAATGAAATCAAATGTTTGGGAATCCCAAACCACCGGATAGTTTTAAAAAAAGGGGTACCAATTATGTTACTGAGGAACATTGACCAAACATCTGGATTGTGTAATGGTACAATACTAATTGTAGACGAGATGTGAAAGACTGTTGTTGGTGCTATTGTGGTTTCGGGAAATCGAGTGGGCGAAAAAGTTTACATACCCCGGATGAATTTGGTACCGTCTGATCCAGGACTACCTCTAAAGTTCCAGAGAAGACAATTTCCAGTAGTCTTATGTTTTGCTATGACTATTAACAAAAGTCAAGGTCAAACATTGTCATTTGTTGGATTATTTTTAACCAAGTCAGTATTCACTCATGGTCAGCTTTATGTTGTTGTTTCGCGAGTGAAGACAAAGACAAGATTAAAAATATTAGTCTTAGATGACAATGGAAATCCTTGCAGCCATACAAAAAATGTTGTATACCTTGAAATCTTTCAAAAAATTTGGTATTAAAACAAACTTTATTGTGTGTAGATTAAATTCCTCAAATATTATTCTTTTTACTTTGCCTTACTTTTCTATGTTATTATAAATCATGCATGAGGTATATTTCTTTTATTCCGGGAAAAAATATTGCATTGAATAAATTCAGAATTGACAAGATATTCGTCCGAACCCGTGCATTGCACGGGTAGGAATACTAGTATACATAAGAAAGTAAAATAAGAAAATCAGCTAATCATTAATATATTTAAACTTTTTTTTAAAAAAATTAAATAATCGGTATTAAAATAACTAAAGATTAGAAAATATTGATGCTATTCTACCAAAGTATCACATTCTAAATGCATATTACTTAGTAATATATTTAATGTTACAAATTAAAGATCATTTAAAATTTTAAACACTAATCTTCCTTTCACCTCTATCAATTTTGTCATAAACTCACCCTTGTGTATATTATATCATCTTAAACTTTAAAAGTTAGTCTTTTTAAGTATAAAATATTTATGGTTTTGAACACTAAGTTTTGTATAATTATTTTATAAACAAGTATTTTAAAGTATGAAAAATACAACTTTTTAAGCTTTAACATTGCTTCCATCCATCATTCCTACAAACTGAGCAATTATTAAAAATAACAATTTGTAGTTGAAATATAATAATAATAATAATAATAATAATAATAATAATAATAATAATAATAATAATAATAATAATAATAATATAACAATAATAATAGTAATTAAAATTGTAATATTAATTAAGATTCAGGTGTCGGTAGCTTTAAATAAAGTATTATGATTTAATCAAATAATAATTATTATTTTTTAATCATTCAAAAATATAAATATTATTTTTTATATTTTTTCGTGATTTGATTTTATTGGAGTTGATCTAGTCTGATCTAATCTGATTGGATCTGGTCTGATCAGGTTGGATCTGATCTGATCTGATTGGATCTAATCTTATCTAATTGGATCTGGTTTGATCTGATTGCATCTGATCTGATCTGATTGGATCTAATCTGATTAGGTCTGATCTATTTTGATCTGATTTTAATAACAATAAGTAATAAGTAGAAAAAATAAGTCCTACGGAACAGACCTTTTGTCTAGTCATCTTTCGACGTGCACTCTCATTAATTTTGCATCACTATTATTTCTTTATTTTCTATCTGCTCACCCCACCACAGCACCCTCCTGCCTCGAGCCATAATATGACCTGAGGTTCTAAGATCAAAAGAACCGTTGATAATTTTTACATTTACATTAAAAATAATGATCATTATCACCATCTCCATTGTAATTAAAATAAAATAAAATAACTAAAGTAATAACACAATTTTTATTTAAAAAAAGTATTTCATTTGTCCCCAAAATAAATGTTAGTTACCATTATAATGTAAATATTAAATGTTCAAATTTTAAACAATTAATATATTATATATATGATTGGAGGCCGGTTCCCATGACATTGGAAACTAATGTCATGGGATGACTTAGGGGTGCTCCGGTGTCCCGTTCGTAAAATTGACGGTTTCTACCCTCTCTAACCCTCCCGGTAAACCCTCCCACCCCGCCCCGACCCGAACACACCCCCCACCCCCTTCAATTGCACCCCCAAGTTAATTTTGACTTTTGAGTCAAATTTTGACTCCTAGTCAAAATTATCTTTGGGGGTGCAATTGAAGGGTGTGGAGGGGTGTGTTCGGGGCGGGGCAGGGTGGGGGGTACGAACCATCAATTTTACGAACGGGGCACCGGAGCACCCCGGGTCATCTCATGACATTGGTTCCCAATGTCATGGGAACCAAGGAATTATTTATGTCATGAGAACCTCTCTGTATATATATACTCCTTTATAATTATTTTATAATATTCCATAAAAGAATTTCATGATTGATTTACTCCTTTCATTATTAAAAACACTTCCTCTTTCATTTTTTCCACTTTCAACAAAACACTTCCATTTCTATTACAAACCACTTTTCCCTTTACTTTTTCATAGCCTACCTATCACATCATACTTTTTCTCTAATAATCTATCCATCTCATCTTATTTTTATTCATCAGATTAGGGACAAAATTTAAAGTCAACTATAATTTGGTACTTCTTTATTTTTACACTTGGTTAAAATATGATGTCTTTTTTAGAACGAAGGGAGAATATAACATTAGATTATTTAAGTCAATTTTTCGCTTCATTAAGATCAATATTAAAATACTGCATGCTACTTTTCCCCTTATTTTTTGTAAATGGAATAGTGGCATACGTATTAAGAAATAAAATAAGAGTTTTTCTTTGATGCCTTTACAATTTTGAGGGTATCAATGCCCCTCCATTCACTAATTGACATTTGTATTTTTTATGCAACATAATACTCTAAACTTACTCTGTAATTAATAAGTTTCCATTAACTTTTAAAAATCACAAAATTTGGAACATATGCTTTTGTTTCCCTACATACGTTCTACTACCTTTCAATCGGTTTAACTACTTTAGGAGTTTAGGAGTATTTTATTGTTATTATTACTATTTTTATTTTTATTATTCTTATTATTATTTTTATTATTATAACTATTATTATTTCTCTTATTGTTATTATTATTATATGGAGTAGTATTTTTATCTTTATTATATTATTATTGATATTATTTTTACTGTTATTATTATTACTCTCAGCACCTATTGTTATTGTTTTTTTATTATCATTTTGTTTATTTATTTCTCTTATTTACCCTTTCATTTATAATTAGGTTCTGTTCTATTGAGCTCAAAGGCCATGTTCTTTTCACCCGATCTGATTGAAATAAGTTCTGATCTGATCTGAATGTACTTATATTTAAAGCTACTTCTGATCTGATTTGATCTGATTCTAATAAGAAGAATGAATAAGTAATAAGAAATAGGTGAAGAGTACATGGCCTAACTCTTGACTTTTTATATTTTCTAACTTTATATCATATCTTCCAATCTTTTTAAGTTTCTTTTAACTAATAACAATTTCTTCTAGATCCTTCTAGTTTTTCAATAATCACCTAAAAATTAGATGTATTCTTCATATGAACAATATAATTATATTTATTATTAGTATCATCATCATCAATGTGAATAAAATAACACTACTGTCCCTGAGTATTCTGTCTACTTTTGACTTTTTTTAACTCGATAATTTTTAGTCTTTGACTAATAATTAAATAAAATATATATTATATATTAATTAGATAAAATAATATTTTAAAGATATTTTATATAATAAGTCTAATAAAACCATTTTGTATCACATAATTAACATCACTTTTATTTAATTTGAGATTGAAATTTATCAATTTTGACCAAAAAATCAAAAGTGAACAAATACTCAAGGACGAAGGAATTATTAAATTGAAATATTTTCAAAACTTATATTTAAAAAAATTCATTGATAATTTGATAAAATAAAATATTCATATAAACTTCTGATATACTTTTAAAATATGTAATTTTTACTTTTTGTTTTCATACTAATTTATTAATAAAATATTTCAATTCACATGAGATTTTGCACATTATTTGAAACAGAAATTTAATTTGTAGGCGAAGGAAGTAATATTTATTTCTACATTTTTTATTTTTATCAAACATTTGTCAAATTTTTTCCAATTTGTCCATATTCTTACCCATTTTTCAACATTTTCAAATTTTTTCCAACTCTTTTTTCTTTTAATTCTATCTAGTTTGTTTCAAATCTTTCTAGTTTTTTCAATGAAAAGTAATTAATTAAAAAAATCATAAAATAATGAGATTGAGAAAATTAACTAACAATTATTTGTTTAAAGTAGATGGTGAGTAAATTAAGTATTAACTAATAAAATAATTATTGAATGAAATTATACTAATAATTATCTAGGAAATGTTAAATAAAAGAGGAATAGTTGATAAAATATTAATTAATATGGAGTTGGTATTGTAAATCAATTTGACAAAAGTGGGTAAGTTTATGGAAACTTCCCGAGAAATTGAGGTTATTTAACAATTTTTAATAATCAATGGAAACTTATTAATTTAACTTTTACACTATTAGCTAGGTGTCATTAAAAGCACAAATGTCATTAATGGAAAATTATTAACTAAAATTTACACTATTAGGTGTCATTAAAAGCATAAACGTCATTAGAATTTACAAAGGCACCAAAGAAAATCCCATAAAATAAAATATTACTATGGATATTAATAATAAAATATTGGATCTTTATGATCGGTATAAGTAAGGAATTTATTGAATTAGTAATTAAATCATTTAAACTATGCACACAAGAAATATCATCTCATTTTGAGAAATGTACAAAATCTTATCATATTAAAATAATTTTATTTACAAATTGATATTCAAATACTACCAATTTCTAAAAAAGTATAAATTGCATTTTCCTCATTTCAAAACTACATTCAAATGCTATACTCCTATCCCAATTCAAATAGTTGGTTATAATTTTATTTCTTTGGTCGAATTGTGTAATACTTTGATTATAAATTGAATAAAATTTTAAATAAATATATGGATGTAATATTTTATGTATAAAAACTATATTTTAAAATGAGTCCAATTAAAAATTTAAATTATAATTAAATATATTTTTTTAAAATTTGAGATTAAAGACCAAAAAAGTAAAACTATAACATTCTATTTCAAGAAGGTGACAAAATTTTTTATTTTATTAATTATTTAAAAAATACCCAAAGAAATAACATTTTGGGTCAAAATTAAATAATAATTGAGATGATATTTCTGCTGCGGAAAGTATGAAAACAAATTCAAAAGAAATAACTTCCACCTGGCAAATCGGTCGGTCGGATTCGGGTTCAGTCACCTTGGGTTCGGGTTATTTCGGGTTCGGATAAGTTCGTGTTCGGGTTGATAACTAAATGTTCATGACCCAGTGTTATCGGGTTCGGGTTGACCCAACAGGTTATGAGTTTCATTTATTTTTTTGAAATTTTAAGAAATTTTTATGACTTAGTGTCAATATAACGAATAAAATAATTAAATACGTAGAAGTTTTGAAAAAAAATAGGATAATTATGCGACACCATTAAAATTTGTTATGATGGTAGAAATATATACACAAAAATTGAGTAGTAAGCCAAAAATATAATTAAATTCTTATTTTTATAACACTATAGTTCATATTAAAATGTATGATTCTGAACAAATCTGAGATTAACGGGTCGGTCCGGCCGGGTTCGGATTCGGTCGAGTTTGACCCATTTTTAGCGGGTCTGTTCGGGTTCGGTCAACTTTGGGTTCGGTCAGCAAAACCTTTGAAAACATCCCTTTTGTTCTTTTTGTTTTGCAATTTGAGTTCATTGTTGGTGGAAGTCTTCCACCAACAATGAACTCAAATTGTAAAACAAAAAGAAGAAAAGGGATGTTTTTTAATAGTGCGTACCTACCCGACAAAAAATTGTAATTTAGAGCCTGATCCATAGTTTTAAAAATCGGACCGGATCAGTCAGTTCAGACCAGGAATCAGTGAACTGGGAGCTAAACCTGTCCGGTCCAGCCCCAAAGACCTCCAAGTGCATCGAACCGGCTCGAACCGGTAAGAACCGGTCGGTTTGACCGGTGACCAGTTTTTTTTACACAAATGTCCTACAAATTGTTACTAATGGGGGTTTCGAACACATGACCTACTTGCTCTCTTGTTAGACTATCCATCATCCATGCTACAATATATTGCATCTATTTTGAATTTCTGATTTTCATCTGATCAGTCTAATTTGATTTTAATAAGAATAAGTAATACTATCTCTGTCCCACAAAACCTTTTTTCTTTCTTTTTCACCCGTCCCAAAAAAAATTTCTCATTTCTCTTAAAAAGTCAATTTTCCACCTACTAATTCTTAACCCACCTATCACGTCACACTTTTTCATTACTAATCTACCCATTACATCTACTTTTACCTATCACACCCAAGGGTATTTTAGAAAGTCAACACCAAAATACACTCCTCTTAAATCTCTTAAAAATTAAAACTAGAAATGTAATTTTGTGGGGCAGAGGGAGTATGGAATAGGAATAAGATTAGATCCAAACTTAATCGAATCAAATCATAATCAATTAGATAAGTTGTAGACTCTTTGACAATAATAATAATAATAATAATAATAATAATAATAATAATAATAATAATAACAACAATAATAATAACAATAATAATAACAATAATAATCATAATCATAATCATAATCATAATAGTACTTCATCCGTTTTTAAAAACACTTCCTCTTTCATTTTTTCCACTTTCAACAAAACACTTCCATTTGCTACTAAAAACCCACTTTGCCCTTACTTTTTCATACTGTACCTATAACATCATATTTTTTCTTTAATAATCTACCCATCAAATCTTACTTTTACCTATCACATCAAGGGCAAAATTGGAAATCAACTACAATTTAACACTTCCTTATTTTTTATACTTGATCAAGTTAGGAACCCTTTTTTTAGAACGGAGGGAGTATTAGTTATGGTAGTGTTTTATTATTAGTCAGTTTCACGTTCCTATTTATGGTAGATGTTATATTTTAGTTAATTTACATTCTCTTTTTCTAGTTGTCTTAGGAGTCTCTCCTATATATACTCTAATACGTACTCTATAATTAAATGAACAATATTATTATTCAAATATTTCAACATGGTATCGGAGCCACCGTTCTTGGTGACCTAAAATTATCTATGCTCGCTCCTGGCAGGCGGTGTCTCCATTAGCCACCCGCCAGGCCAATGTTCTTCGCTCCCTTCAATTTTTCGAATTGGCAACTTCTCAAAAACTCTCTCAACTCATCTTTTTATCTTCTCAAAATCAAGGCAAAAAAATGATAGTTGTTTCTCTCCAATTCACTATATCCTAAATCTCAGGCCCAAATCTTTTCTCCATCACCAATTCTTAATCCACTTTTTTTTCTCTCTCAAATCACTCATTCTAATCATCAATCTTATTTTTCTTTCTCTTCTGTTGAACCGATAAAAATCCAAAGAAAGTCAACACAAAAGCAAAGCCAATGGGGGAAATAGAGAAAGAGGAAAGAATACCTCGACAACTCACCCCTCCAAGGAAGTCATAAAAATTTCTCACAATTGAGAAAAAGAAAGAGGGCATTACCCAGATTCAAGAAAAAGACAAAAAGTGTCACGGGTCTTCAATAAAACAAGCACCTCCAATAGTCTTCTCTATTCTTCTTTGATGTCAGCAGTTACAATCGTCAACCCTTTCTCTCTTCTTCAAAGACGTCAGCAGCTACCAGCACCGTCAGACTTCTCTCTTCTCCAACGACGTCAGCAGCTATCAGTGCACGTTAGACGATCACTTTCTCTTCTCCAATGACGTGAGCAGCCATTGGCGCACGTCAAACTTCTCTCTTCTCCAACGACGTCAGCAGCCACCGGCACACGTCAAACTTCTCTCTTCTCTAACGACGTTAACAACCACCGGCGCACGCCAGACTTTTCTCTTCTCAAAGTTTCCAGTTTCCAGCTAGTGTTCAACCTTCCTCTTGCTTCAGCCATTGTTCAGCTTGAGGGTGATGTTAGACAATAATTATAATAGTATTAGTTATGATAGTGTTTTATTATTAGTCAGCTTCCTATTCCTATATTTATGGTAGATGTTGTATTTTAGTTAATTTTCATTCTCTATTTCTAGTTATCTTAGGAGTGTCTCCTATATATACTCTACTATGTACTCCATAATTCAATGAGTAAAATTATTATTCTAATATTTCATCAAAGACAACAAACCATAAACTAAAGATAACAAGCTTTCAGTCCATACTTCTCTTCAGTATTTAATTACTCCCTCCGTCCCTCTAAGATATTCTCATTTTGACTTTTGGTGGTTTTTAAGAAGAGTTGAAAAAAGGTGAAAGTTTACCATAATACCCTTAATGAAAATGGGTGGAGTGTATTAAATGAGGTGAGTGAGGTGTAATAAATAAAGTAAGTGAGGGTAGTTGTGGTATTTTAATTGTTGAAAAGTGAAATGAGAAGATCTATTGTGGACAAAGAAAAATGGCTATTGAGAAGATCTATGGGGGACGGAGGGAGTACTTCGTAGCAGTCAACTTTTTATCATGTTTGATACTCAAAGAATAAGGGCGCGATAACTTTTTATCACGTTTGATATTCAAAGAAATAAGGGAGTGATTGGGAAAGGGGTCCACGTCAAGAAGTTCGAAGTGAATTTTGGTACAACCAAACTCTTTTCCTCGCCCTTAATGCGGAAGATGTTGGCTTCTCTTAATTCTCTAGCGCGGTATGTCATTTAAGACACTAGTAGCAGAGTTGATTCTCTATCATGGTATATTGTTTGAAAATTACTAAATCTGGTTGGTCTATTGTTGACTTGAGCGTTTGACTCTACGTCTAAATTTTTGGAGTGGATCTTTATCCCTCCAATTTTTATTTGTGATGTTCTGAACTATGACATCATTAAATTATGAAAACAACCTTTCCTTTCAAAAAAATATCAAGGGGGGATGCCTAATAAAAATTGTGTTACTACTTCCATAAATTATACTCCCTCAGTCCCATATCTTTTTTTGCATTGCACAAAACGAAGACAAATCCTAAAATTTTTTCAATCCATTTTATTTAAATATTGGTATAAAAATAACAAACTTAAACATACATATTTAAAAAATACATCAAAAGTTTAATAAAACAAGTGATGACAAAATATTTTATTTTATCATATAGGCCATGAAAAAATATGAATGAATAAAACTTCTCGTGAAATTGGAATAGTGTTCTGGAAAGAAAGACATGGGACGGAGGGAATAGTCAAAGTATAAAAATGTAACAAAGAAAATCGATCAAACTAAGAACAAAAATGGACAGGATTGTGCTTCCCATTTTGAATATCAAGAATGTTAATACTCCCTCGGATCCTTCTCTAAAATATCTTCTTTTTTCATCTGACCCAAAAAGAACTTTTCTTTTCATGAAAAAATGTGTGGCTCAAAAAATATAATTAAATCTAACATAAGAGGTCAAGAGAAGAATATACTTAAGGATCACCACGTACTCATCTCTGGTAGAATTATTCCAATCATTCCAGCCATCCGGAGAAACCACTTGGGACATGTATGTGTTGGAGAAGACAACGGTTGCATATGGCCCCCATGCTCTCCCAAGCCACACCTTCCCACTCCCACCCACATTGCAATTCACAAATGAGAATCCGGTGTCCTCTTCCTCCGACCCCCTCCTATGTGCCGTGATCGAACCACTTACGCCTCCGCCCCCTTCCTCCGCTATGCTATTTATTGTGCAATCCTGAAAAATCAAGAGGAATTTGCTTAAATAGCGCTAAAACATAATGACTTTCCTTAAATAGCATCATATGAGTTGCATTGGTTTCTCAATGTAGCACTTTTGGTCATTATCCATCAGTCATTATTCAAGTAAATGTTCGCTGTGTCTAGAGATTATTCCTCCTTCTGGACATTATTAAGTGCTATTTAGGAAATAAAACAGTTTAATTGCTATTTAGGTAAATGATTTAAGTTTTGGTGCTATTTAGTAAAAATATTTCTTCCAATTAAATATGATTGGTGTTGGAAGACATAACTTTCAAAATTATTTAGACATGAAGAAACATGTTAGAGCATATAAAAATATTTCCTCAACGGCCAACAAGAGGAAATTTTGGACGTACTTGGTATAGTGATCGAGCATTTCCGAATATGAAGTCAATTGAACCCTGAATGAAGCATTCTTTGTAGTAATGTCTTCCACTTTCATCATTAAGGGTATCCTGAGCTCCATAAAACCCACATCCATAAAATGCAGATTGATCTCCGTAAACACTTAAAGCTATCGCCTGGCCTCCTGATTCTCCAGGAGATGGCACCGGAGCTATGTTCTATCCAAAAATGAATACAATTGAATGAATTAAATTTGGCACACATCACATCATCTTTTTTACTTTTATAAATTTTGTTTATTTGTAAGTTATGATTAATTAATTGATTTTATAAAATCATTTGTTCAAATCTTGTTATATACTCTCCTCGTCCATAAATTTTATCCTATTTGACATTTCACAGTTTCCATTGCAACACATTATCCTTTAATATCTCTATTTAGGGCCTGTTCTTTAGGACTGTAAAAAAAGAGCTGTATGTTGGAAGAAACTGGAAGGAACTGGAAGAAACTGGAAAAAACTGGAAGAACTGGAAGGAACTGGAAAAAACTGGAAGGAACTGGAAAAAACTGGAAGGAACTGGAAGAAACTGGAAAAACTTGGAAGGAACTGGAAGAAACTGGAAAAACTTCAAAAAATTGAAAAACCTAAAAAACTTTAAAAATATTTATTTTAAATTCTTGTTGTTATAAATTATTATTATTATTATTATTATTATTATGATCATCATCATCATCATCATCATCATCATCATCATAAAAAAAGTATTGTTATCTTAGTCAATGTCTTTAAGATATAAAAAAAAGTATTGTTATTTTTTAAATACAAAAAACTACTTTTGCAAAGAATAATTATAATATAAAGTTAGCATAAGTATAAAAATATTAAATTTTAAGAAGTCTTTGTTGTTATATTGCACCTCAATTTATTTATGCTATATTTATTGTAAATAATATATTTGTAATTATAATTTATATATTAAAACATTTTGTTTTAAATATCATACATGTCACATAATCAAACTTATTGTTTATTTCATGATTGACATTTTATTTTCATTGAATTCCTATTTTTGGAATAAAGACATAGAACTTTTTTGTTTACATTTTTTATGTTTTACTCATATTTTAGTCTTTTTCTCTAAGCTCTTTAAACTTACTTTTTTATATATATAAAAATTAGAAAAATGAGCAAATTTTAAGTAATAAAGGGAAAACTGAGATGTCTTATAAAAAGTTATATTAATAATACATTCAATGTAATTATTTTATCCATAATTTTTTTAGTATAATTTAACATATTGATGTTTTCCTGTTTTATCATGTAAACTAATATACAAAAAAAATGTCTTATTCATATTAAAAAGATGAAAAAAAAATAATAAGTGTGAATCGTAAAAATAGTGAGATGAAAAAAAATAATTTATAAACTATAGTTATGAATATAACAATTGTAATAATAATAATAATAATCACATTAAAATATATCATTTTTAAAGTAATTGGTTGAGGAGTAGAAAGAATTTGAAGAAAATGAGAAAAGTTGGAAGAAACTCGAAGAAACTAGAAGGAACTGGAAGAAACTGGAAGGAACTGGAAGAACTGGAAAAAACTGGAAAAAACTAGAAGAAACTGGAAAAAACTGGAAGAAACTGGAAGTTAAGAGTTCAAGCCCTAAAGAACAGGCCCTTATAAATGGATATACCCCATAGTATATTACTCTATATAAAAATATATTATTTCAAAGATAAATGTATGTTTCAAAATAAGTATAGTGATAACAAATACTTAAGACGATTCAATTAATTTTTTCGGCCAAATAGCGCCAGTACCCCCCGTGGTTTGCAAAATAGGCACCAAAACCTCCTCTATTTTCAAAACTTATTTCTAAAGTCCTTGTGCTTTCAAAATGCTGCACCCGTGCCCCCTCTGATCATTTTCCGGCCATTTTTCCGGCGAAGAAGGGGGGATTGGTGCATATTTACTAAACCACAGGGGGTATCAGTGTTGATACGTATTTCTCGCTTATTTTTTTTTGTTTTTTTTCATTTTTTCCTTTATTTGTTTCATTTATTAATAAAGGTTTTTTTAAAATTATTTTTATAATGTTTATAAAATTTAAAGTTATTTTTGTTTGAAAAAATTAACATATAATGTATATGTAAGTCTCAAATCAACAATTTTTGTTTTTCTTAAAAAAGGAAACTTTTTTTGAGAATTTAAAAAAAATGAGGAATAAAATAAGAAATAAAGTAATACAAATAAAAATGAATATCTTTTTCGAACATCTCAATTCTAAGGTCTTTTTTAGGCTTGTCCATTTTTTTTTGTATCAGACTTTTTTTGTGTATTTTTATTTTTCATTTAATTTTTCCATATTTTTATTTTTTTTATTCTAGGTTTTTCTTTTTAAACTTTCCAAATAAGTACGTAACAAAAAGTGAAAAAGTTTAATTTCAAATAGATGTAATGTATGTTAATTTTTTTATTTTTATTTTTATTTCTAACACAAAAAAATTTAAAAATTTTAAAACATTATAAAAAATTGAAAATAAATTAAAAAATAATCTAGGAAAAGGAAAAAGAGATAGAAAATATTTAAAAAAAAGGAAAACACAAATAATAAACGAAAAATAAAAAATGAGCACGAATGCCCCCTATGGTTTAAAAATTATGCACAAATGCCCCCTATTCGCCGGAAAATGGCCGGAAAATGATCAGAGTGGGGTGTGGGTGCAATGTTTTGAAACCACATGGACTTTAGAAGTAAGTTTTTAAAATAGAAGGGGCATTGGTGCCAATTTTCCAAACCACAGAGGGCATCGGAGCTATTTGGCCTAATTTTTTCAATACTTTGTGCTCAAATTGTACGAACTTTGATTAGGGCCACTTCTGAGAATTCAAAGGCTCAAGACAAACCAAAAATTAGGTTTTTTGCCCTAAAAATTAAATTATATAAACCAAGTTTTTAAACGACAATTACATTACAGTAATAAATGTAACAAAATCAGAGTATTATAAATAAGAGTAAATTCCATAATTGGTCTTTTATAACATGATGTTATCTATATTTAGTTCCTTATTACTCCCTCCGTCCCTTTAAACATGGGATGTTTTGATTTTGAAGAGATTTAAGGGGCGTGTATTTTGGTATTAAATTTCCAAAAATATCCTTTGATGTGATGGGTAAAAGTAGGATTTGATGGGTAGATTATTAGTAAAAAAAGTATGATGTGGTAGGTAGGGTATGAAAAAGTAAGGGGCAAAAGTGACTTTTTAATAGAAATAATAAGAGTTTTTTGGGACGGATGAAAAAAGAAAAGAGAAAGGTTTTCAGGGACGGAGGGAGAATTAAATATTATGCTCATGGTTTTTATTAATTTTATGGAAACATCTCCACAGATAATCGTTTTTTGACCTTCTATTATATTAATGTTAACTTAAGGGCTAAAAGTGTATTTTACATCGACCCTATGTCCACTGACATATTCTGATATCGATCAGCTTGATGGACAACGCAACAGTAATTACTATGAATGTCAACTAGAGTTTCAATAGGAGAAAATATTTGTAGACTATAGTTGTAGTAGACATCAACTCAAGTTGACAAATGATCCATCAACAATGATCTCTCGTGTTGGGTATGATATGAAAGATATATTTATATATGATGATTATGAAACTACACTTTTAGTCTTCAAATTAACACTAGTATGATAGATGGTTTAAAATGACTATCCATGGAAATGTATCCATAAAAGGGCTACAAGTGTAATTTTTGATAATAAAAAACTATATATGAAAACTATCTGTTATAAAGGACCATTAATAGAGTTTATGCTATAAATAAATATCGTTATAGCAGCCATAAAAAATTAAGATTTTTTATTTGTAAGTATATAATCAATATTTTAAAAATATTATGACCCCCAAAAATAAGGACCCCAAGCCAGTAGGGCTGATTGGCCCCCTTTGGGCCAGCCCAGACGTTGATCAAGAAAGTCAAAATGGGGAAATTTTTGGACTGAAGACTTGAAGAGACCTCGGCAAGCAATGCGATAATTTGTCGCAAATCCAGGATTAATTAGGACGCAAGAGAGTTCCCATGATTTTGTGCAAAAGGAAGCCTTGGGAGAACTCTTCTTGCACATCCAACCACTACGACAATTTGTCGCTAACCCGTGATTGATTAGGACACAAGAGAGTTCCCATGATTTTTCAAAAGAGAAGCCTTGGGAGAACTCCTCTTGCACATCCTTTGAATCGCCTTTTAATGCGAAGTGACCTCGGCAACCACTACGACAATTTGTCGCTAACCCGTGATTGATTAGGACACAAGAGAGTTTCCATGATTTTGCAAAAGAGAAGCCTTGGGAGAACTCCTCTTGCACATCCTTTGAATCGCCTTTTAATGCGAAGTGGCCTCAACAACCACTACGATAATTTGTCGCTAGCTAACCCGTGATTGATTAGGACACAAGAGAGTTCCCGTGATTTGTGCAAAAGAGAAGCCTTGGGAGAACTCCTCTTGCACATTCTTACTCTAATTTGGATCGTCCCCTTCCCATTGAAGTGGTAAACCTCGTAACCCATTGTGACAATTTGTGGTATATTCGTGACTGGTTAGGATGCATGAGTTTAATTTTCTCATAATCTTTACAAAATGAAAAGATTTTTATTATGGTGTGGCCTTCTGAAAACTAAAAAGGGTATGTACCTGAAAGCTGATATTATAAGCAACAAAGTTGGGAGCTAAGACCGCAAAGGTGTAGCTGCTGGCAGTGCTTCCAGTAGAGTTGGCATTGTCATTCCACAATATGGTAGTGCTGAGGTAACCCTGCCCTTGTATTATCAAGTTTCTTTTGCCTTCACTCACCACCACTTTCTCCCTGCTCGGGTGCACCTCTATCAATTCAGTATTTACAAATTCAAACTTAAGATTATATACTCTAATAGCTTTGATGAGTAATTATAATAACTTTGGTTCACGAAGAATATTTACTTGTGACATTTTTAAACTTTGTTGTTATAAATATTTATTATGCCAGAAAATACAAATTTTATCCGTGATCATAGGCCTAATAATTTTATTGTTAAATTATACTCCCTCCGTCCCAAAAAGATTTATATCTTTCAAAAAAATTGTGTCCCACAATCTCCTACCCATTTCTATTAAAAACCACTTTTACCCCTTACTTTTTCAAACCCTACCTATCACATCATACCTTTTTCCTAATAATTACACATCACATCCTACTTTTACCCATCACATCAAGGGTATTTTTGGAAAGTCAACACAAAATTATCCCTCCCTTAATTTCTACTTTAGTCAAAATGGGTAACACTTTATGGGACGGAGGGAGTATTGTGTTAATTACTCCCTCCGTCCTATATCTTTCTTCCCGTTGCGCAAAACGAAGAAAAATCCCAAGTTTTTTTAATCTATTTTATTTAAATATTGATATAGAAATAAAAAATAAAACATACATATTTAAAAAATACATCAAAAGTTCAATAAAACAAGTGGTGACAAGAATATTTTATTTTATCATATAGGCCATGAAAAAACACAAATAAATATAAATTCCCGTGAAGTTGGAATAGTGCTCTGGGAAGAAAGTTTTAGGACGAAGGGAGTACATGTTACTTAATACTCCTTTACTCCGTCTCAAATTAAGATCTGTAGTTGACTTTTTCATGACTTATAACACAGTAATATCTTGACTATTATTCCCTTAGGCTATTTTCTCTTCAAATTATTCTTATTACTTACTCCCTCCGTCCTATATCTTTCTTTCCGTTGCGCAAAACGAAGAAAAATCCCAAATTTTTTCAAACTATTTTATTTAAATATTGGTATAGAAATAAAAAAATAAAACATACATATTTAAAAACTACATCAAAAGTTCAACAAAACAAGTGGTGACAAGAATATTTTATTTTATCATATAGGCCACAAATAAATATAAATTCCCGTGAAGTTGGAATAGTACTCTGGGAAGAAAGATATAGGACGGAGGGAGTATTACTTTTTTTATTGGAGCCAGTTCAGGTCAGACGAGACTAGATCAGATCAGAAACAGCTTTAAGTATAACTACATTCTGATCAAATCAAAACGTAATCCAATCAGATCAGATGATGAAGAGAACATGGTTTTAGTCCCAAAAGAATCCTCTTTCAAACAACTTACAAAGTATTGTCTCTTTCCAACATATTTTATTTACAAATAGGCATGGAAAAACATACTCCCTTCGTCCCAAACTGTTTCCACCATTTCAAAGGACGCGTAAGATATCATTTCTTTAAAAATAATGTTATTTACCAACTGGTAGAAAAAAAGGGAAAAAAAGTACATTAAAAGTTATACAAAACAAGATGCGACAAAAGTATTTTATTTTATCAAATGGGCAACTAAAACAAGTAAACAAACAAAAGTTATCGAGAAGCAAAAATAGTAATTGTGACAGTCTTTTTGGGAGAGAGGGATTTAATTACATACCATATTCTCCCATGACTTATGATGTCAAAACATAATGCCGAAAAATATTGTACAATTCCAACAAAATATCAAATTACCGACATTTTACAATGGCAATCTTCTTATTTAGGACTTAGGAACAAAAATATAAAAAATCTGATTTTGGTATAAGATTAAGTCCTCTACCCCAAAAACTCTTTACAGTTTGACTATTTGAGTCAAAATGATATATATATTTTCACCACAAATAAATGTAGTTTATACTAAAAAATGTTACTTCTGTTCTTTTGAAATCTTCTTAGTTGACTTTTCAGTCTTCAATGCAATATTTTGACTATCAATATCTTTATTTATAGATAAATATATTACTCCCTTCTTCCAGATTTAGAGCATGTTCTCTTCAACTTAGGGGCTGTTTGGCAACTTCTGAATGGGTAAGTGCTGAATCAGTAAGAGGTCTGAACCATTAAGTGCTGAACCAGTAAGAGGTCTGAACCATTAAGAGCTAGTATATTGCTTAACTATTCAGAGGCAAATATCTGATCAATTCAGATAAGAGGTATTAATCATTCAGACTCTGTATAATACTTAACCATTCAGAGGCAAATCTCTTAACCATTCAGACTTCTGAACCATTAAGAGGCTCAAACAAACAGTCTCAACCATTAAGTGCTGAACCATTCAGACATCTGAACCATTAAGAGGCTGAAACAAACAGCCCTTTATTCAAGTTATTTATTACTTTTTCTTATTGGAATTACTTCAATTCAAATCAAAAACACCTTTATATATAACTAGCTACATTTAGATGAGATCGTACTAGATTAGAACTTATTCCAATCAAATCAGAATTACTCAGATCAGGTGAAGAGAACAAGCCCTTAATCTTCTCATCCTGACTTTTCCTTATCCTTAAGGGAGGTTGATTATGGGGTAGATTTGTCCAAAATACCCTTACTAAAAATGAGAAGATTACATTTGAACAGAGTTTCCAAGGGAGGTTGATTATGGGGTAGGGAGGGAGTATTATATAATAATAATTAACTAATACTTCCTAATAATCTATCCATCACATCTTATTTTTACTCATCATATTTTTGGAAAGTCAACACTACCATAACTAATACTCCCTGCGTCCAAGAATAATCTTCCTACTCTACCTTTTTTTTTCGTCCGAAAATAATCTTCTCATTCTATTATTTTATACCAATTCTTCCTAAATAACCCTTCTAATAATACCCTCTCTTTTCTTTTTCTTCTGCCGTCTCTCCTCTCTTCCACTTTTTCTTCTTTTTTTGTCCCTTCATCTCATCCTCCTCTCTTCTTCCTTCATCTCATCCTCCACTCAATTTTCTTTTTTCTTTTTCTTCTTTCTCCTCCTCTCTCTTCCTCCGTCATATCCTCTTCTTCACTTTTCCCCTTCATCTTTTCCCTTCTTTATCTCCTCTTATTTCTCTCATCTCTCTTCCAAATCTGAGCTTGGCAGCGATGGTGGCGGCAGCAATGGTGGCGACGGCGATGGTGTTAGCGGGGATGATGGCGAATCTAGATCTCCACTTCTTCTCCTTTTTCTTCTTCTTCTTTTTTCTCTTCCTTCTTTCTATTATAGGGGGTGGCGTTGCTGGTAAGGGTGGCGCCGATGGTAGGGGGCGGCGATGGTGAGGATGCGTCCGTGGTAAGCCTAGATCTGCAATCTTCTTCCAATCTTTTTCTAAATTCTTTCTCATAATTCTTTATTTCTTTGAGATCTAATGGTAGGGCTATGTTGGTGATGGTGAGAGTGAAGCGATTATGGTGGAGGGGGATGGTGGAGATGGTCAGAGAATGGATCGATGGTGGAGCTGACGGCAACGACGGGGCTCGCGGCGAGGAGGGGAGGGGCTACGGTGGAGGCTGTGGTGGGTTCTTGATGGTGGCAGGGCTGGGAAAGGAAGGGAGGGTATTTTAGACAAATTACACCCATATTTAACACCCACTAAAAATGAGGAAAAGTCAAAGTAAGAAGTTTATTCCCAGACGGAGGGAGTACTTCCTAATAATCTACCCATCACATCCCACTTTTACCCATCACATCAATAGTATTTTTGGAAAGTCAACACCAAAATATCTCTCCCTTAATTTCCCAAAAAGTCAATATGTACCAATCTTTTTGGGACGGAGGGAGTATATTTTAATCTTATTTAGGTAAAGTTTTGAAAGAGTTTTAAGGTCATTTTATCTCCAAACTCTTTAAAAATTGTACAGAATCCCACTGGACTTTAAAAGTTACGTGAATGGTCCTTAAACTTTTAAAAATGTTGCATCGGTGGTCCCTCTACGTCAGATTTAGAATTATTAATCAAACGGTCATCTAGTGCAGGTATGAATTCGTCTGAACTCATATGTCACACGTGAGTTGTCCAATATGTTATTTCAAACATCTTTCATATTTTTGACATCTTGAAACCCTAAATGATTTTCTCGTTTTAACCATTGGTGACTATACTTGAAGCTTGGGCATCAATCAAGCTTTTTATCAATCCATAACATCTTAATCAAGCTCCAATAGGTATATAGATGAGCGTGTCATTAACACACTCTGATCCTAATTCTAGTACAGAGAGACCATTGATGCAACGTTTTTAAAAGCTTAGGGACCATTGTTGTAATTTTAAAAGTTAAGGGTAATCCGTGCAGATTTTAAAAAGTTTGAGGGTAAATGATGTAAAAAACTCATTTTAAAAAGAAACATGTTAAGTGTATTCCTAAGAGTATACTCAAAAATGTATCTCAAAGGTTTATACTTAAATTTTGATGGCTTGCATTGATACAAAATACTAGTCGATTGCAAATTTTCACACTAAAATTGTGTATCCATGTAAGCCATCAATCACGCACTTACATTGACATAAAATATAAGTATAAATCTTTGAGGAATATTTTAAGGTATAATGTTTGAAGTACAAATAAATTTATCTTAAAATAAAACTTTCACTATGTAAAATCGGGGACATTTCACATTGACATCTTATTTAGCAAACAAAAGCATAAAAAAATTTATTTTGGTACAGATTCAATATTTTAGTCTAGTTGATTTCTTAAAATAAAAAAGTTACTCGAAAGGAAAAAATTTAGGAAAATAAATAAATGGTTGTATTATATTCAACTATTCAAGAGTAAATTGCATAAGTGATCCTTTATAACAAGGGTTGTTGCATATTTAGTTCTCTATCATCAGACATTATCCTCGTGGTCTTTCTTTTGTGAGTATCTTTCCACAAATAATCTTTTTTTGACCTTCTGTAATGTTGGTGTTAATTTGAGAGCTAAAAGTTTAATTTGACATCAACCTTATATTCATGATGTATTCTGATGTCGCCACAACAAGAATGACTATATATTAATGTGGGCTAGGATTCCAACGAAAGACTGCATCTGAAGACCATAGTTGTAGTAGAAAATAACTAGAATTAACAAATGATGCATCACAAGCGGCCTCTGAAATTGTGTGTGACAAAAGAGATATACGATCATTGTGAAATTATAGTTTTAGCTATCAAATTAACATCAACATGATGAAAGATCAAAAAAAGACGATTTGTGCAAAGATACCCTTAAATGAAAGACCACGCACATAGGTAATACTTAATGATAAAGGACTAAATAGGAAAAACATCTATTATAAAGAACCAATTAAGAAATTTATCCTTCTTCATTAAGGAAAAAGACTAAAGAAGAAAACATTGAAAACATATCAAAATAGGAGTTTCATGTTTTTATTTTAGAAATAAGAGTTAAAATGTATTTACATTACTAATCATGATCATGTACATTACGTAAAGTACACATGGAAAGTGCCAGAATACCACAATGCGAACTCCTATTTAGAGAATAAAAACATAAGAACTCCTATTTTGGTACTTTTTCTATGTTTTAGTCCTATTTAGGGTGAGTTCTTTCTTCATTATCATTCCCCCTTCAAATGTACGCGATCATCATCTTACCTCTTTAATTTTATATTTTTATCCTATACCTCGAATATTTTCATTGACTCAAGAGATTTTTTTTGGGTATGCAAACTGATTTGAGGCAAACCAATAGATAAAAAAGACTAAAGTCAGAGTAAAAATTATAAAACATATTAAGTTATGGCAAATTGCATCCTACATCTTGAAAAAACTGTACAATTCTACCCGTACAGCTTGAAAAAATTAGAATTGGAAAAGAAAGAGACAGAAGCGGAGACTGTTAGTTTCTATATTAGCGTACACACCGTACCAAAAGTCTGGGTAGCATGGGGTTTGTATTTGTTTATATTTAGTTGGCCTTATCCTTATGACAAAAACAAATAGTAGGAATAAGTTGTCTAGTTGGCTTGGGATTGTAGCGTCCTGCCATGTTGAGGATTCACGAAGGATAGTTGAGCTAGAAGTCATCTCCCATGTTGGCAGTTTTTGAAAAGGACTCAACTAGGGTTTCACGCTGGCATGTATATATATATACGCTATTGCTCTGCATCATGGTGAGAGGATTCGGTGTGAGAAAAAGAACGAGAGATAGAAAGCTACATAAAGTCACAGAGAGTCAAATTCACGGATTGTTAGCCTTTAACAATCTGTGCTGATCAGTGGAGATAATAATTCTCACGGAGCAGAAAGGTCTGCAATCCAGCAGGTGATCTTTGGAGTGCTGGAGCAGGGTCGTAACACATCCAGGTGCATGGAGTAGGTGTAAACAACCATGAAGTATGATACAAACAGAGTTTGCTATCAAAGTCATTTGTAAGTTGATTAAGTCAATACAATAGACCGAGTCTGTTGGTATTGAAGGTGTAATCATTACGGTGATTTAGTGGATGGGTTGTTACACGGATGTGGGCCCCGCAGAGTAGGAAAGTTTTCCGAACTGCGTAAACAATTCTTCTGTCTTGTGTTTTTACTTTATTCTGCACATTACATTATCTGTTGTTATAGGGAGTGCTAAAGCACTGCACTAGTTCTTGGAATCACTGTGTGGTTGTCAGGATCAAAGGCAGCTCTCAAAACTTACATTTGGTATCAGAGCCTATTCAGCTTAAGTTATTAGCTGAAGGAGACGATCATGGGAGACATGGAAGAAGGTGCAAATGTTCAGCGACCACCTCTGTTGAGAGGACCAAACTACAACTTTTGGAAGGGACGTATGAGAGCGTTTCTGAAATCGCAAGGTGGTAGAGTGTGGAGAATCATAGAAACTGGATGGACAGAACCAACGGAAACGAATGCAGAAGGAGTAAAGATAATCAAAACTTTTGAAAAATATTCAAAGGAAGAAGCTCAAGCTGCTGAATGCAATGACAGAGCATTAAATGCATTATTTGGAGCTGTTGACAGTTCACAGTACCGACTCATATCAAACTGCACCGAGGCCAAGAAAGCCTGGGAGATTCTTGAAACTACGCACGAAGGGGATGAGCGTGTCAAGACAGCAAAGATCCAGATTCTCATGACAAAATACGAAAGTCTGCGCATGGATGATAAAGAAAGAATAGCTGATTTTCATGGAAGAGTAAGGGAACTTGCAAATGAAGCTGAGAATCTGAAGCGGCCTTTTACGGAGGATAGCCTAGTTCTGAAGGTATTAAGAGCCTTACCAGAAGCCTATGCAATGGATGCCAAAGCAATTCGCCAGGCGCATGATATCAAGAATATGACTTTAGATCAACTAATGGGGAATCTGGAGACAATAGAACTGCAAATGAATGAAGAGCTCAAGCGAAAGAAAAGTGACAAACCAATTGCCTTTCACAGCCTGATTGATGAAGATGACAATGAGGATGATGTAGCACAAGATGAAGACTTTCAAGAGCAGCTATCACTCTTTACTAAACAATTCAAAAAACAGTGGATACAAAAGAAAGGAAAAAACAACTCTCAAGGAGATTCCTTCAAAGGAATCCAGTTTAGAAATCCACGACAAAAGGAGACAAGGCCTTTTAATGATGATTTCAAGAAAAAAGGGCGTCAGTGCTTTGAATGCGGAGGTGTTGGTCACATTCAATCTGAGTGTGCAAATAATCTCAAAAAGAAGAGGCAAGCTTTCATGACAACCTGGAGTGATGATGATGAAGAAACTGAAGATGTTACGGGAAACAGCAATTGTGCCTTTGTCACCCAATATGAAGAAGAAGATGTTGAAGATACAACTGAACAACTCATAGTGCTACAAGAAAAATGGACAGAGCTTCTTCTTGTTCACAGGAGGAACATCCTGGAGAAAAACCAACTGGCCGCACAGGTAGATGACCTTCAAAAACAACTGGATGATGTCAAAAAGCAGCTGAACCGAACTGAAGGGGAAAAATCTGACCTACAGTACGAACTCACCCAACTTAAGAACTATCAAAAGTGGATGAAAAGTGCTGGGGCTGAGAAAATCGAGGAAATGGTGAGCACATCAAGATTATACGGGGACAGATCTGGAATAGGGAACACAGCTTCAGAAGGCGTCAAGACACCACTGGACCTGTTTACTAAAGAAGCAAAGATCATCATCAAGGAACCAGACACGAAGGAGGTCCCTGAGAGCAATCAAGCAAGGCCAAGGAGAAAGTAGTTCAGCCTCGCAACAGCCATGTAAGGAAGACTTATTCCCTAAATCCTTATTTCAATTATTTTTGCTTCTACTGCAGGAAAAAGGGGCACATTAAACGCCAATGCTACAAACTGAGAAACTTAAAGAGAAGAACGACTGCTGCAACAAGGCATGTCAAAACCATAATGAAATGGGTACCCAAACACAGAGCCTCATGTGCAAACTTCTGCTATCGAGTCACACCTGATCAGTGGCTCCTAGATAGTGGGTGCTCTCATCATATGACGGGAGACAAGTAGAACCTAGCAAATGTACAGCCCATCGAAGGAGGGAATGTCAGATTTGGTGGAGGGGCACATGGTCAAATCATTGGAAATGGAACGTTGCATGTGGCTGGACTGCCACCAATCAAGAATGTGTGGCTGGTTCAAGGTCTGCAAGTGAATCTTCTGAGCATTAGTCAAATTTGTGATCAAGGACTGGAAGTGGTGTTTACTCAACAGAAATGCCGCATCAAAGATAGAAATAAATTGGTGGTGTTAGAAGGAGACAGAACTGCTGACAATTGCTACAAGGTAACACCAAATATTCTTTGTTATGCAGCAAGCGAAAGAGATGCAAGGTTATGGCACTACAAACTGGGACATATGAACTACACAGATTTGAAAACATTATCAAGTTCAGGAGCAGTTCGGGGGCTGCCAAAAATTACACAGACTGATGATCAGGTTTGCGGACCTTGTCAAAAGGGAAAACAGATTCGGAAGAGCCATCCAAAGAAAATCATGAGAACAACCAAGCGACCTTTTGAACTAATGCACATTGATCTATTTGGGCCCATGCAAACCGAGAGCATAGGCGGAAAGAGATTCGTTCTCATGGTTGTAGATGACTACACCAGATACACTTGGATCAGCTTCCTAAAGCACAAAGACGATGCGCTGGATGCCTTTGCTGCACTCTGTAACAAGGTTCAGAACAAAAAACAACAAAAAATAAGGAAGGTGATAAGAGTACGAAGTGATCATGGAGGTGAATTTGACAATGGGCCATTTGAAGAATTCTGCAATCTCCACGGGATAAGCCATGAATTTTCAGCACCAAAAACCCCGCAACAAAATGGAGTAGCTGAAAGGAAGAATCGACATGTGCAAGAAATGGCTCGCACAATGCTCAATACATACAACCTACCACAGAATTTGTGGGCTGAGGCAGTTCATACAGCATGCTATACAATTAACCGAGTGTATCTCAGGAGTGGAACGCAGGCCACGCCATATGAATTATGGAAAGGAAGAACCCCGAGTGTGGCACACTTTCACATCTTTAGAGCAAAGTGCTATGTCCTAAGGGACCGAGAACAAAGGGGAAAATTTGAATCCAAGAGTGACGAAGCCATTTTTGTTGGATATTCACCTAACAGTAAGGCCTTTCGAGTATACAACAAGCGCACAAAAACCATCATGGAGTCAATAAACGTTGTAGTAGATGACCAGGTCTTTCAAAAACCAGTGGATGATCAAATAGAGCCACTGAAACACATCGAAGAGACTGAAGAAGAAGCTGAAGAGACAGAAGGTGAAAATGAGCAAGACACTCAAACAGACATACCCATCAACAGCAGCGTCCCCACACACATTCAGAAGAGTCATCCGTCTGAAAACATAATTGGCACGCCCACTGAAGGGATAAGAACAAGAAAGAAGAAGATTGATTTTCTGCAGATGACAAAGGCCTACTATACGTCATCCATGGAGCCCAGAAACATTAAAGAAGCCTTGACAGATGTAGCCTGGATAAATGCCATGCACGAAGAGCTAGAACAGTTCGAGAGGAACAAAGTATGGGAGCTTGTACCAAAACCAGACACAGTAAATGTCATTGGCACAAAGTGGATCTACAGGAACAAGACCGATGAAGAAGGGAATGTTATCAGAAACAAAGCTCGGTTAGTTGCTCAAGGATACACACAGATGGAGGGAATAGACTTCGAAGAAACATTTGCACCTGTAGCACGTCTTGAGTCCATACGAATGCTTATAAGTATGGCCTGTGTTCTAGACATGAAGCTATATCAAATGGATGTGAAGACCACTTTCCTAAACGGGTATCTAAAAGAAGAAGTCTATGTAGCACAGCCCAAAGGGTTTGAAGACTCAAAATTTCCAAACCATGTATACAAACTCCACAAAGCATTGTATGGGCTAAAGCAAGCTCTAAGGGCATGGTATGAAAGACTAACAACCTATCTTATTGAGGAAGGATACAAGCGAGGGGGAGCAGACAACACAATGTTCTACATTTGGTATAACTCAAACCTACTGGTTGCACAAATATACGTAGATGACATTGTGTTCGGGTCTACATCAAAGGCACGAGCTGATGAGTTCGTCAGAGTGATGGAGAAGGAGTTTGAAATGAGCATGATAGGAGAGCTCACCTTCTTTTTAGGTCTTCAGATCAGACAAACAACCGAAGGAATCTTCATATCACAGACAAAGTATGCACAAAACATGCTGAAAAAGTTTGACATGAGCGACAGTAAAAGTGCTAGAACACCATGTCCAACACATGAAAAAATCAGCAGAGACGACACTGGCAAGGATATTGATGCAACGAGATACAGAGGAATCATAGGGAGTCTTCTCTATCTAACAGCGAGTAGACCAGATTTGTGCTACAGTGTAGGAGTTTGTGCGAGATATCAAGCTAATCCAAAAGAATCACATCTCAAAGCAGTCAAGAGAATACTAAAATATGTGAAAGGCACACAAAGTTTGGGACTCTGGTACTCAAAAGGAGGTATGGCAGAACTCATGGCATTTAGTGATGCAGACTGGGCTGGAAACATAGATGACAGAAAAAGTACTTCAGGAGGATGTTTCTTTCTTGGTGGAAATCTTGTGGCATGGCTAAGCAAGAAACAAAATTCTGTGTCACTTTCTACAGCAGAGGCTGAATATATAGCTGCAGGCAGCTGTTGTGCTCAACTACTATGGATGAAATCGATTCTTGCTGACTACGGGGTCAAACATGACACTATCCCAGTGTACTGTGACAATACAAGTGCCATTAGTATATCCAAAAATCCAGTGCTACACTCACGCACAAAACATATCGACATCAAACATCACTTCATACGTGAACTGGTGGAACGAAAAATTGTGAGTCTGGAACATGTATCTACTGAAGATCAACTTGCAGATATCTTTACTAAGGCACTTGATGGAAACAGATTTGAAACACTCAGGTCCAAATTGGGTCTGTGTGCACCTTACTAAAAATCTGTTTATAAAAAGACAAAAGGGAAGGAAGAAGTCCAGCCATAAAGTCATGAGGAGTATATGACACGTGGAGCAATACTCAAATCAATTCACGCATGCAGCACTCCTTCCTAAACCTGACGCTGTACCACTGGAATCGAGGAGACCAAATACCTTCAAAAATCACATCTTCAATCTCAAAGAGTCTCTACATCTTCTATCTTCTTCACAAATTCATCGGTCCTTCTCTCAATCGCAATCTACCAAAAACTCGGCCTCAGCAAACTGAACCTGCAAACATGGTACGCACCAAGATCGCTCTTCCACAACAATGGAGGAATCCTCAAAGCACCAGGAGAAACGCAGCAGTACTCAAGAAGTTTGCGCTAGGAAGAGCGAAGCTACAACGCTCGATTTCCATAGCAGAGAGTAGTTGCATGTCCACACCTCCCAATCTTGGAGAAAGATCTCAACCCTCTTCCCCCGTTGCTGAAAGACTGCTTGCAGAACGAGTCGATGAAGCACCTCTCAACCCTAATCTACCGGCTGTGCTCTATCTGGAATACCCTACCCAAGAGCAATCCAACAAGGAATCTCCAACTCCACCAATAATGGAGAATATGGGTGAGAAGAACAATTTAAATCGACAAGAGGAGTCATGCAAAACTAAATCAGGTGAAGCATGTAAGCCTGGTAATGTTGAAGATGAAGAGTTTCTGAATCTGTTGGACGAGGAACCTCTAATGGCTGTCTCAGAAGTGCCCTTCCACACACAATCAAGCACAATGAACACCCCACAGAATTCGAAGTCAAAATCCAAGCCATCTGTTTCAAATCCAGTCCGCTGGTCCAAACGAAAGCTAGAATCTGAGATTCGCACCCCAGAAGCATCATCATCCCCCTCCAAAAGGGTCAAGAACAGTGTCAAGAAATAGACTTCCAATGTCAAGACACCACATACCAGAATGCAGAAACAACATAACAATTCTCCAGGAAAGTCTCCTGACGTTATTTTTCTCTCTTCTATTGCTAAGTCATTCATGAGTCTGATTGAGAAAAAGCACATCATTCCCCAACGGAATATTGATGTTGATGATTTCACCTTGAAAACTAATCTCATGTCTCTGTTGAAAGATAGAAAGCTGTTGAAGTCTGTAACACTGCCTGGGTCCTATGTCAAACAAGTGATTCGTGAATTTTACTGCAACTTAAATGAGAACTTTGCTCAACCTACTGATGAGAATTTTGAAAAAGTGTTTGTGCGAGGGAAGCACTATGATTTCTCTCCTGCTGCAGTTAATACTTTCTTGGGTATGACTGATGAACTGGATGTGCAAATAGGAGAAGCTACCATGTGGAAGGAACTGACACATGGTGCCAGAAATAGCCAACAATCCACAAACAAAGTCCCTTCGTCCATTCTCAACAGCTCTTATTCAATTCTGTTGCGTGTTGCAGCATGTCACTGGCTTGCAACCACTCATACTAACACTGTCACCAAGGCCATGGGAATGCTCCTCTACAAAATCAAAAATGGTGTCCCAATCAACCTGGGAAAGCTGATTGTGTCACAGATTGCTGAATTTGGAAAGCGAAACTACAAGCAAAATGATAATGGACTGCCTTTTCCTGTTCTAATCTTTCAGATGCTTCTTTCTCAGGGGTTTGTCAAAGTTGATGCTGACAAGGAGGAACCACCGGAGCCACTACTGCAGATTGACTACAGGCATTTTGAAGGAAACCATTTCAATGACATGGAGTCCACTCAAAGCTCTGCTCCCCAAAGGGTGTCAGCAGGGATGCAATATCTGGATGCCAAGCTTGAAGCAAACAGGGAAGAGATGAGGATGACACTGGCCAAACAGTCAGCACTTGAGGAGGAATACAAGCATCTCACTTGGCTTAGAGAAGTTGTGTCTGCCAGTGCTGCAATAGAGAGAGAATCTGCTCAGGGGGAGAGGGGGAGAGCTCTGAGGACAAAGAGCAGGAGGATGAACTATCAGCATAAGTGTTTTTATCTTCGTTACTTAGTTGCATCTCAAAACTTGACATTATTTTGGTGGGGTTGTTCTGCCCTGTTTTCTGATTTCAACCTTTATGCTTTACTGTTTCTACTGTGACTGCTATCAGACTTTTCCTTGGTGTTTGAACCTGGTTTGCCAAGTCTTCATATCTGCCTACTTTGGTTATTTATCCCATTATCATTTTCTGTTCTATGAGCCATTGCAAATCCTTCTCTTACATGGTGTAGGTACACTCTCAAGTTCAACTTTAGGATATGTTCTATATCATGTACCTCTCTTGCTCACATGTTGGATATTACTCTTCTCTATTGCCCAGTTATTCTTTAATACACTTTGGCATATTTTGAACAAAAAAGGGGGAGAACAGGTTCAACGGCCAGAGAGACTAGTTTATTTGTTTTTGTCCAAAAGGATGGCCAAAGGGGGAGACTGTTAGTTTCTATATTAGCGTACACACCGTACCAAAAGTCTGGGTAGCATGGGGTTTGTATTTGTTTATATTTAGTTGGCCTTATCCTTATGACAAAAACAAATAGTAGGAATAAGTTGTCTAGTTGAGGATTCACGAAGGATAGTTGAGCTAGAAGTCATCTCCCATGTTGGCAGTTTTTGAAAAGGACTCAACTAGGGTTTCACGCTGGCATGTATATATATATACGCTATTGCTCTGCATCATGGTGAGAGGATTCGGTGTGAGAAAAAGAACGAGAGATAGAAAGCTACATAAAGTCACAGAGAGTCAAATTCACGGATTGTTAGCCTTTAACAATCTGTGCTGATCAGTGGAGATAATACTTCTCACGGAGCAGAAAGGTCTGCAATCCAGCAGGTGATCTTTGGAGTGCTGGAGCAGGGTCGTAACACATCCAGGTGCATGGAGTAGGTGTAAACAACCATGAAGTATGATACAAACAGAGTTTGCTATCAAAGCCATTTGTAAGTTGATTAAGTCAATACAATAGACCGAGTCTGTTGGTATTGAAGGTGTAATCATTACGGTGATTTAGTGGATGAGTTGTTACACGGATGTGGGCCCCGCAGAGTAGGAAAGTTTTCCGAACTGCGTAAACAATTCTTCTGTCTTGTGTTTTTACTTTATTCTGCACATTACATTATCTGTTGTTATAGGGAGTGCTAAAGCACTGCACTAGTTCTTGGAATCACTGTGTGGTTGTCAGGATCAAAGGCAGCTCTCAAAACTTACAGAGACGGGCTGTAGCATGGCATCCGACAATTGAAGAGGAACAAGAGGAGGCTGATGGCAGGTAGATCTGATCAAATTGGGAGCAGAGATCCGATTAAAAAAGTATAAAGCTACTTGTACCCCAAACTTTTGTACGTCGCAGGTTTACATCAATATTTTGTGTTGGTGTAAACTAATTTTTGTTAACGCACCAACACTTTGTGTTAGTGTAAATTTTTGTTAACGCACCAACACTTGTGTCGGTGTAAACCATCAAAAATCAAAATGTTTGTGTATAACTGCAGTGTAGTACAAATGAGGTATAATTTTTTGTGTAAGTGTAGCATGATCCATTAAAAAAATTTGGACGGTAGTAGTGAAAGTGTAGCAGTGTATACATAGACCTGTAGGTGCCGGAATCGATGATGATGAGTGTGACGTCAGGATTGGGATCAGGAACTGCGTCAATGGCCGCCTGTACACTGCTGAAATTCCCACAGCCATTTGTGTCCACAGTCATAACGCGCGAAACGTTGTACGCGGACACGAGCCCGGAATCCCATTTCGACGCGTCGCACCTGCCCTTCCTCCTACGGTGGCGGCGGCCGGAGCCTGCCGCTAGGTCCGCCGCCGCAGACATGAGTTCTCCGCCTGACCCGGTAGTTTTTTCAATGACGCCGCGCAGGAACGTGAAACCAAGAGGAGTAGTGCGAGTGCCGCCGAAGTGGACAGAAAGTGTGAGGGAACATAATGCGACGGTTAAGGCAAATGCCCAAAACCAAATGGTTTTTGGAGATCTTATAGCGGTCCTCATAATATAATATAACAGCAACAATAATATAATAATACTCCAAGAGTCAAAAGGAAATTAACAGCGAAACAAATAAAAATGAGGAAAATAAATCAGAGTGGAGAGAGGCATATATATAAATATAAGTAGTTGAGCTAGCTAAAATTGGAAAAGAAGGAACCATATACTTTATCATATTGGATGATTAGCTTTGGAGGAAAGCAAAAGAGGCAAAATAAGACCCCAAAAATATGTATATACTCCCTCCGTCCCTTTAAACATGGAATGTTTTGATTTTGAAGAAATTTAAGGGGAGTGTATTTTGGTATTGAATTTCCAAAAATGTCATTTGATGTGATGTTTAAAAATAAGATTTGATAAGTAGATTATTAGTAAAGATGTATGATGTGATAGGTAGCGTATGAAAAAGTAAGGACTAAAAGTGACATTTTAATAGAAATAAAAAGTGTTTTTTAGGATAGATGAAAAAAGAACGGAGAAAGATTTTGAGGGATTTGTTGGGTTGCTGTATATGCTCATTAATCCGTACGTTAAAAGCATTTGGTTTTAGATGGGGGTGGCCGGCAGAAGTCGGCTATAACAGTGGGATGGATATATGGGATGATGCACACGCCAAGAAATGGTCGTCAGGTGCAAAGAAGAATTGATTTTGGACCATGCTACACTTACACCAAAAAATATACCCCATTTGTACACCACAAGTTTGCACAAACATTTCGATGATTTTACACCGACACAAGTGTTGGTGCGTTAATAAAAATTCACACGGACACAAATGTTGGTGCATTTAAAAAAAATTAGTTTTACACCAACACAAAGTGTTGGTGCAAAACTGCAGGGTACAAATTGGAGTACAAAACTTGGGGTACACATAGCATAATCCATTGATTTTATATGGCTATTTTTAGCATCCGCGCATTGAGTACGTACTACTCCGTATTTTTTTAATGATGACAATGTTGGTGCTTGTTTAATTTACGTGCTTCCCTTTGTTTGAATAATGGAAGAATTGATTTACTTAATGAATACTTTAAGGATAGACTAAAATATACTCCCTATATAAGAGGTATTCCTACCATAAAGTGGAGTAGTAAGTAGGAAATTAAGTTATAAACAAACACTACATACCACAAATATTACGGAGTAATACTAATACTCCCTCCGTTCTTAAAAAGAGTTTCTATTTTGACCAAGTATAAAAATAAAGAGGTGTTATATTGTACTACCTCCGTCCCGGAGTATTTGTTCACTTTCATTTTTACACACCATTCAATACACTTCTTTAATCCATTTTATCTTGTAATTTGTATATTAAAAAATTATAGAAATTATATATTAATAATCTATATGTTAAGACAAATCAAACAAGATCACACATGACTATATTTAGGCTTACACATTGAGAGAATTTGATGAGTCAAAGTGCTTAGATGAACAGTTCCAAAAGTCAAAACTGGACGAATACTCCGGGACGGAGNACTTTCATTTTTACACACCATTCAATACACTTCTTTAATCCATTTTATCTTGTAATTTGTATATTAAAAAATTATAGAAATTATATATTAATAATCTATATGTTAAGACAAATCAAACAAGATCACACATGACTATATTTAGGCTTACACATTGAGAGAATTTGATGAGTCAAAGTGCTTAGATGAACAGTTCCAAAAGTCAAAACTGGACGAATACTCCGGGACGGAGGTAGTAGTTGATTTCCAATTTTGCCCCTAATGTGATAGATAAAAGTAAGATATGATGGATACATTATTAGACAAAAAATATGATCTGATAAGTAGGGTATGAAAAGGTAAGAGTAAAAATGATTTTTTTAATAGATACGGAAGTGTTTTGTTGAATTGGAAGTAAAAAAAATGAAAGAGGAAGTGTTTTTAAGAACGGAGGGAGTATTATTTTGGGAAAAAAATGAAAGAGGAAGTGTTTTCTCAAAATAGGACTATATATTTTTATTTTTCAATGTAAGACCATTGGTCATTATCTATTAGTCATTATTCAAGTAAATATCTACTATAACTGGACATTATTCCTCCCACTAGACACTATTAAGTACTATTTAGGAAATATGAAATGTAAATCCTACATTAGAAAAATGACTTATGTTTTAGTTCTATTTAGTGCAAATTTCACAATTATTTTCTAACATACTCTCTCAAGAAGAACGTTGTGAAACGAGTAGAAGGTTGGACATAAGGTCCCTAAACCGCGGAGAGGGTAATGCCTTCCTGAGGATGTTGCTCTGTGGATGAGACATGCGAAGTAGTCAAAGTGATGGAGGAGGACCCCAAAAGACATGTCAGCCAGACCCCATCTGCCACGTGGAAGATCCCTCTGCTCGGCCCACGAGCTCGGCTCGTCCTATGGGCTCGGCTCGGCCTGCGAGCTCGGCTAGGGGGCGTGATAGCGATGGGAGGATAGCGACTGGCCACGTTGACTGCGCGATAGCAACGGGATGAAAGGGACAACGCATAGCAGATGATGATGTCCGCTAGGCGACGAACCTCAATCAGAGGACTTTGACTATGTGTATGGTATCCCCTATAAAAGGGGTGAGACCCCTCATTGTAATGGGGCAGAGTTTGAAGTGAATAAACTCCTACTTTGCATTCTCTCTCTCTCTAAAACTTATATTATTTCATATATTCGGTGGTTTATAGCCATCACAAAGTTTCGACAAAGTTTCGCGACTTGCTCTCGAACAAAGTGACAATTAGTGGCTACATGCTTCATGCGTTTGTAGATTACTGGATTTTCGGTCAAACAAATCGCCGACTGATTATCACAAAACAGATGTGGAGGAGGCGTTTGAATGCGTAGATCGGCCAAAAGACATGATGACCACATCACCTCAGATGTTGCAGAGGAAAGAGCTCAGTACTCTGGCTCAACCAAGGATTTGGAGACTCAATAATACTACATCAAAATATCTAAAAAACTAGTAGTGACAATAGTACTTTATTTTACCAAATTACTAGCGAAAATAGAAAAATAAAGTAAATGAAATTTGACTCTATAAATAGTGAACATGCACTATAAATTAGGATGAAGTACAAAATTTCATTCTGAAAGTTCGGGTGAAGGTTTAGTTGTAAGAGGCATGAATCAAGAAAGTAGTAACGACAAGATTAAGTCCAGATCAAAGTCTAATGGTAAAATAAAAGAAATTAGTAATAATGTTGTAAATTTCCTAGAGTTGGTTTGAGCTCTTGTGATCGATCACACTCAGGGGTAGGTAGTAGAGGAGATTGTTCGGCAGAGGTTTTCTCTCATATCGTTTTTGGGATTTAGAGACCTCCTGACAAATTTTGCGGATCTCATGAGCTGGTTTGATCAACTATTATTGCGAGAAGGTATATGGTACAACCGGATGTACCTAGAGATAAGTATATCCGAGGTAGTATTCATTCTGAAGTAGACTTGTATTCATTCTCGCACAAATATAATTAACATAGTACTCATTTCAACATAATGTAGTACTCAACTACTCATTTTCACACATTGATTCAAGATAATTATAATATTTATCTACAAATAATGTAATGTTCATTCTGAAACAAAAGAGTACTCATTCTCAAATAACTTAGTGTTCATTCTCATGTAAAAAATAAAATTCATATCATAAATAATTTCTTGGTTGTACCCAAAATTGGGTACAACCGGATGTATAATATAATTTGCCTATTATTGCATGAGGGTTTTTCAAGACTTGAGCCATATATGAGCTCAAAGTACAACATTGTCATATTTTAGGACGCCAATGACTGGCCGTTTTACATGACGAGGGTCGCCATAAGAACAAAAAAACAAAAAAAAAAGGCAGAAAACATTTTGGTCTGCCCATTCTAATTTGCACACTTTTACAGCTCTACTTCTGTCTCAGTATCGATCAACAACACTTGCAATCACAACCCTCTTTGGCTATATCAAATTACATCTCTCTTCTGGTTTCACAGTACCTGGTTTCTGCACGGCAGCACCCATTCTGGCACCTTGACGAATAACTCTACATTTGGGAACCTCTTTTTCAAGCATAGACGTTCCATTAAAGCTAACCATCTGCCAGCAAATCTTTCTGTAGTCGGCAAGCTGCAAAGACAACATTGTTCTTCATGTTTTTCATGTGGGTCGATATGGTAGGGATAACACATGCATTACCTAAATGGAGTAACATTTCTTTAAAAAAGAAAAACAAAAATCATACGCGCTGAGGAGATATCTCTTTGAATCCAAATTTTTTGGTCCATATTGACATTGCATCATACGCGGCTGGAAGAACGCAGGTTTTCACTTTCAAAAATGCAAGCAATTTCTCTATGCAGGAAAATAGGAGTTGAAAGTAACCCTGAAAAGCATTTGTTAAAAAAGAATTAGCATTTAAATGAACTTAGTTATAGAACTCAAATTCATGCCACTCAGTAGAATTCTCATTGCCTTCCCCTGACTTCCAATACGAGTCGCCACTAGAGGGATTTCTGCGCAGTCTTGGCCAAAAACTCGGAAGATGGCAGCTGATATTACAGTTGAGCTGTGGGGTCCGCACAAAAAAATAATTAACAAGCTTAAAAAAAGGATAATGTACTCGAGAAAAAACCTTCACGTTACAGAAATTTACTTTAGAGTTAATACTGCACAGTGCATGCCTCTGAAGTCTTGCCATCTAATGCTCCTTCGCCTAGGATGATACAGAAACAGCATTGCAATTGATGTGAAATAATTAATACGGAGTAGAAATATTGAATAGATCAGAGTTGCAAGTTGGAAAAAGAAAAGGCGCAATGGTTATTGATGAGTTAAAACAAAAACCAAAAAATAAAACATACCCGTAAACCATTGATGGAATAAAATCACGCCCAGTTACTGAATCAACAATAGGATTGAAGCAATCCTGTAACATGTGTCATTCAACAATCAATTTAGTGTCACAGTACCAGCCATGTTCATGCGGCCTATTCCC